GTACTCGGGGAAGAGAAGATCACGGTCGGGCAAGCCCTTCTGATCACCCGATGATTGTCTCTCCGCGAGGATCAAGTTGCCGAACGTCTGCCCGGTGGGCACCATCCTAGGCGACATCTGCTTCCGGACGAGAACATCAGATCGCTTGGTTTGGTTGTTACCGCAGTCGGTTCCAGGAGGTTGGAAATCGCAAGGCCAGCCAGGAAGAGGTCTGGGGTTCTCGCGGACGGCTGGTGGCTCGGGAGGGAATCCAACAGCGGAACCGTAAGGATCGTTGCACGGAAAGTAGCAGGGGAAGTTTGACGGCTCATTCATATCGATCCAGAGAGCATCAATGTCAACTCCCTTGTCGGCCGAAAAGAATTGAGCAAACTCGTTGTTCCAGTAGGAAGTGATATTCTCTGCGAAGAAATCGGGGAATACAGTAACACCGGGCCAGACGACGCCAATCCAGACGGAACCGTTGCTGCGGAGGAGCCAAATGTTGTCGTCGATGCCGCGTTGCAGAGTGGGTGATTCAACGTAGGCCACTGCAGGGTCTACCATGACGATGTAGTGCTGATCATTTTCGTGGAGCTTGTCGACGAGTTGGCGAACCTTGGCCAGGGGGTAGCGCTCGGGGTCGAGAGAGAAGACCCTGCGGTTTGTTAGTCTGTGTCCAGGAGTAGGTGACAGGTTAGCTATTGCTTACCTTCGCCTGTCCATGTAATCAATGTCAGTCCACATGGTCTCGAGGGGAATCTCGGCGATGCTGTAGTTGTAGACCACCTCAGCAACGTCAAAGACATCGCGGTATCCGTAACGACATTGGTGGAAACCCAGGCCCCAGTATGGCATCATGGCTGGCAGGCCGGTGATCTGAGCATACTGCTGAGCCACCTCAATGGGAGAAGGACCGGAAACGAAGTAGAAGTCGAGGACTCCACCGAGGGTGTTGTACTGGAGATATTGCCCAGACTCCTCCGTCTTGTTGATGAAGACATCCATGCCGTTGGAGTTCAAGAAGAAGACTCCGTGTGTGCCATTCTTGCGGTGCTCGTAGTAGACGGGGTGGTTGCCATACAGATTGGCACCAGAGGGAATGCCGTACGAATCCTGAGACCACAACGTGCGGATGTAGTCAGTTGTGTTCAGACGGAAGGGGTCCGAATGCTCGCCCAGACCGTACAGGTTGGGGTTCTCGGGCAGCTTGGTCCGGAGGCGGAGATACTGGCTTTCGAAGACGATGTTGGCTCCAGAGGTGTCGAAGAGGACCTCGCCCGTATCTAAACGGCTCACGCTGAAGGAGAAGGGATTCTCGGTGTAGTTGAATTGTAGCTTTGACTCTGCAATGGTCAAGCTGGAGGCCTCGGGGCGGGGGAACACAGAATTGGGGATCTGGTACACCTGGTTCGCGGCATCCTGGATCTTGACGTGGAGACGGGTATCTGCAGTATGCCTGAGCCTCGGTTCGCAAGGCACAAGGGTGTCATGGAATAGCCAGAAGGAATTGGGCAACTCACCAGTCTGGTATTCGACAGTCAGAGTCAAGTCTGTCAGATCAGTTCCGAATGCATTGCATGCTTCTCCAGCCAGTGACAGGTCCGCTGTCAATCCAGTCGAGGACAGCTCAACGTTAGACGCCTTGTAGCCCGGGCATGCCGAAAGCGCGTCGTCACTGGGGTAGTCTCTGCGGATCACAGCAGCTGAAGCTACCGCGCTGAGTAGTCCGAGGAGAGAAAGCTTTCTCACCATGTTGACAAGCTTGGCAGAGTATGGGCAAACAGGGCAAGAGAAGCTCCGACGACAGCCCACGACATGGCCCGGTGGCGGACTTTATACTCGGTGTCGCTTTGCAGATCAAAGGACTTTAATGCATCGTTACATTGGCTCAGAGTGTTAGTTGGGATATGCGACCCCGCTGGAAGGCGGCAACGAACGTTTCCTGCTCTCCAACCGTTCATCCCGAAAGCTCCCAGGTCCCCATTACCTAATTGGGCTTTCACGCATGTTTTTTTTAGGCGACTTTTGCGGATGGCCCGTGATAGGTGCAGGGCCGCTAGGCCAGAGCATGAACGTCATCCAGTCTTTCATCTGCTGTGTCCGGAGCTCCCTGGGGGTGCCTGATCCATGTCGTATTCTCCTGGCGTGTAGCTCGCCAAGGTTCAGGGCCGCTCATTTGCGGCTACAAGTCTATTTGATTGAATGGCGCGAGCGAGTAATGGAGCGAGGTAAGGCCGTGTCTACCAGTCTGAACAGCAGAACAAAAAAGAACAAGGCAGGAAATATGCGGTACGAAAGGTCACGCTGTTCATTTTTCGTCCTTGAGCTCGACTTCCCCGCAGTCTACCGGCTCTACAGTTGGAGGTTACGGGACTTTGGAGTGGGATGATGATGTGCATCTGCGCCGACTGCAGCGGGGGACAAGACCGAGATGGAGAAAACGCATCATGCTAGAGCGGCGCTAGTGTAAGCTTGCTGCTTGCCCGGTGCAAGGGTAGCTATTTGCATGGATGAGCTGTCATTGGTGGTGTCAAGGGGATGGAGGGGGGTTGAAACGAGACTATGAAGGCGAGAAAACTGATCCAATCTTTTCTGTTCATGTTTCGTTTGTTTCTTACAGTGGCTTACTGGCTTTCTGGCATGGGATAGGACGGGGCGGGATGGGGTGTCCAACGGCCCGAATGGTGGCTTGACCGGATGGCGGGGAAGCTGGAGGCCCCGCATCACCCCGCACCCGCTAAATAACCGGTGCCCCGGTAAACTTGGTCCGGCGGCGGAGTCTCCGCAAGTTCACCCTCTGACGTCTCTGCTCCATGAGTCTATGCCTGTCATTCTCCGCAAGCTTGTCTCTAGCGTTGCTTCAACTGCTTACTTCGATCTTGCTCTACCCCGGATTCCAAACTTGGAGAAGGCAGCAATTAAGACTGCCCTGTGAACGGCCGAGATGAGCATGGCCTCGGCCATATTGTCGGGAGGATCTGATGTGCCAAGCAGATGTAACTCCGATGGGTTAGGATGAAGAAGTAACCCGAGGTAGAATGACAATCGCTTTTCATCGCGTATTTCAACTACTTCCCTTTGGTCTCAACGTTGGGTAACTTCATTATGCGTTATTGGAGACATCTGGCTCCCATCTTCTTTCTCTGACTGCCTTCACCGGGAACATATCTAGTTGCCTTGGGATGAGGATTCCTATGAGACATATAATGAGAAACTGAATAATACCAGCTGCCTGCAATAACTTGTCAAAAGAAGGCATAAATCGAGTAACTATTCAACGCTTTGTTGAGTTAAGTCGAGTGTGTTCTTCATAGACACTATTTTCCATGTTACATCATACATCTACACTTAGGTGTCTATTTAAGAAACATCTTCCAACACCCACAAAGAAACCACTTGATTGATATGGAGACTAGCATGAAATGTCATACGCAGTGCTTAAGATTCTCTTGTCTCTGCCCATCAAAGTCGCCATCACTGTCTTACAGAGCTGTCTCCTGACGAGGCTGACCGTGATTCTATGTGCCTTGAAGCAGCCCTGGAACGTTCTTCTGATCCACCAATCTGCGATGTGTCTCAACTTTCTTGATCTGTATGTTTAGTTTGATGTATTCGACTTCTTCGGACAAGACACCTCAGTCATATTGTAAATGCTCGTGACCAACTCAAGCATGGTAGCTCAGTCTACAGACCACTGTGACCATCGACTGTGGCCCTGGCTTTTTCGTATTGTATCAGGCAGTTCTTCCAAGATCGTCTTTCACATTCAAAGACAATGTTGAAATTCATGCGCTCCGGTAACATGGCTTTTACCCGACGCAGCGAGAAAGCCTGGATCGACGAATGTCTCCTACCTCTCCACAGTAGCTAGGCTCCATTAAAAGATTTCTCGCTTCCATAGAGATGAATAGTATCAAACCCCCCTGAGCCATATCTAAAGCTTCCAGACTGGGCTTCACGAAGATAGCACCCGCATCCATAGAGACGGATAGAGCTGGGTTCTCTCGGAGCATGTCCAACCTTCTCTATTTGGGCTCTACGAAAGGTGCACCCGCCTCAATTTATATACATAGCACCAAGTTCCCCAGGGACATGCCTAATGCTCTTTGACTTGGGTTCGCAAAGAGAGCACCCGCCTCCATAAAGACAAACAGTGTAACATACTCCTGGAGCACGTCGAACTGGGGCCTCACGATGAGAACACCCGCTTCTATAGAGACGAACAATAACAAGTCTGCCCGAGGCGAGTCCAACCCTTTCTCATGAGGAGAGCACCCGCCTCAATAGGAACAGACAGTAACAAATCTTCCTGGGGCATCTCTAACTGGGCCCCACGATGAGGGCACCATCTTCCACAAAGGTGAACAATAACAAATCTTTCTGGAGCATACCCAACCCTCTCTTTCCCTTCTTCCTCACCTCAAAGAAGCTGGGTCAAAACATCAACAACTTCCGCTGTCAAAGGGAATCCATCCTTCGAGTAAGTTTGAGATACATCTTTTCCCATAATCAGGCCTTCGCCATTCTGATGATATTCTGACGATACGTTCTCGAGCAGCCGACCTTCGACTGGCAATCCTCGAGTCTCCTCGACTGTTGATGCCGGATCGCGAGTTCACCAGACCTGGGTTCCCCTCTAGCAAACGACTCCCTTCGCGTTTAGCTAGGCATCATCGTCAATCATCAGTTACTTTGCTTTTTCTTTTTCTCTTCCTTGCCCCCTTACGCTGGAGTCGAACGCGATTCTCAGCAACGCTCTGATTGAGAATATATTTTTCGACCGAAGCCCCTTATCAAGTGGTTTGGCTCTGATCGACGGATCCTGAACCTATCCTCATCTGAGCTTATCTTCGGTTTACTGAACCTCCTGACTTCGAAGATCAATCAGGCTGAAAATCCTAGTCTGTAAGTTTCAGTTCGATTTACCTTTTACTTCTAGCTGACTGTTGTCTAGCCAGAACCTAATTCATAAAGTCAAGCTCGACCACGGAGCTCCCAAAGCAGAATAAAGGGCAAAAATGGCGTCTCGTGGCATTGATGAGAATGAGGGTCCCGACGATGTTCGCGGCACTATTTCGCCTGCGACTGATCCTATGGCCCAGGATCCTTCCGGTGACTCTGGCCCTGACTTTGATGAGCTTCCCCAATTGCCTGAAGTTACTGAAGCGGATCCCTTTGGCTTTGACTCCGACACGAACGAGCTTCCTGAGTTGCCCGAAGTTACCGACGCGGACCCCTTTGGCTTCGACTCTGACGAGAGCGAGCTGAGCGAGTTGCCCGAAGATATTGAAGAGGACCTCTTTGGCCACCCAGAGGACGACGCCGAAGACCAAATCCCCCGCGAGTACAACGAGCCTCTGCCCGCCCGCTTGGCTCGCGAGCACGACCGTTATCGTACTAGAATCAACATGGCCCGCGTTCCTGATGACGACGTTAGTATGACTTCGGTCTACGGCTTTGATGGCGCTTACGACTTCGAGCCTTCCGGCAGCTTTCAAGACCCGGCTGCCACCCCGACCAAGCCTAATCACGCTGACGAGACTCCGCGTACGGTCAAGGCTCTCCGTATCTCTGACGGCGTCCATAATGGAAAGGGCACTGGTGCGAAGAAGCCAGGCTCCGGTGTTGCCAAGGTTCTGAATTTCGATCCCAGCCCCAAGCACTACTTGGGTCTCGGTAACAAGATGAAGGCTACCGCTAGCCCTGAGGCCGATTCTGCTATGGCTATCGACAAGCCCGACATCGAGCGCGGCCCCTCGACTCCCCCTCCTGGCTTTCGCTATGAGGAAGGCCACGGCATCCAGACTCCTGGTCGCCCTCGCAGCGTCAAAACAGCTCCCACGGTCATGTTTGCCGACACCGACATCGAGGAAGACAACTCGCCCTCCACTCGTCGTCAGATGAAACGTGTCCGTACCGCGTCGGCCTCGAAGTCGGTTACGCTTGAGCGTCCCTCGGTTCAGCCCGCTGGCCCTCGACCCCTTGGCCCTGGGCCAGAATATTATGAGCCCATCAACACTGGTGTTCCGGCTACCCCGACCAAAGCCAACGGCAAGCGAAGCCGCGGTCACTTCGACAAAACCCTCACACTCGCTGGCAAGGACGTAGCGAACATGAAGCACATTATGGTCAACTTCGCTCTCGCTACTGACGAGAAGGTCGACGATACGGTCAACGAGGATGGCGAGGATGGCGACGTTACGCCCAAGGCCTCAATCCTCAATAGCCACATGGACATTGACGAGAATTAGTCTTGGTACCGAATGGCTGCAAAGAGAGGGTGGTCTTTCTACTGATTGAAGCTGGCTCTTGCTTTTATTTTCCACTGGGGCACCGTGTTTCTTGAGCTGTTATTCAGGGAAGGAAGGACCGAACGTGAGGAAGGATCGAGAGGCGACTGGTCGTCAGTTGGCTGATAGCCGTTTTGTGCATAACTCGCCCAAGATAGTATCGATTACGTTAGCGCCTCAATCCTTAGTTAACTTGAACACTTGATCCGCTTAAGTCAATATCGCATCCACCATGGGCGTCTCGCAGCAATCACACCCCCTTCTGCCCCCTTCCACCCTCTCTTACCACTCCAAACCCAAAACGGTACGGAGAACAGATACATCCCACGAAGGAGGCCCGTCGCACCCGCACCCAGACACACGCGCGCCAGATAAGCTCCACCCCTCAGAAAGTGTCTTGTCAATCAAGGTCGCCTTTTTCCTTGTGGCAGCAGCGGCGCCGGCGCTGTCACCCCGTCCCCGGCTCACCTCCGGGTAAAACACAGAAGCGAGCACGAGAGCAGAGCACCATCTCACTCACGACAGCTGCCCGCCAGTTGTGCAACCCAACCCACACTCCCCCCCCTCCTCGCAAGCGGGCAGAAACACCAAGGGCCATGAACTTTCCTGCTTCCACCTCGAACGACTTCGCCTTCAACCCCGTCCTCAGCTCCAACAACCAGTCGCAACACCAGTCCCAGCAGCAGCAGGTCCAATTCTCCTCTCGCCAGCTCCAACTGCAGCAACAGCAACAACAGCATCACCATCAACAGCAGCTGCAACAGCAACAACTGCAACATCATCAACAGCAGCTACAGCTACAACACTCCCTCCAGCCGCCGCAACCTCCTTCGCCTGCGTCGTCCGCCAACGCGCAATCCCTCTCCGCCGCCCAGCAAGCCCTCGCCCACGCGCAGTACCAGCAGTTCGTCCTCATGAACGGAATGAACGGCGGCAATGTGCCCAACGGCATGGGCGGCGTGCCCACCCCGGCCGGCCAGCAGGCCGAGCTCAACTACATCTATGGCATGGTCGAGGAGCTTAGCAGGCAGCTTACGGAGAACCGTCGCGTCACAGAAGACATAGTCTCTGGTCTTGGCAGGGTGCGCAGTCGCGCGAGGACGCAGGGAATGGGTAACGATGACCTCATTCACAACGCTGCAGACGACATTCTCGGTATGCCCTCACTCGCCCACGCGCACATGTCTCAAATACATTTGACCTTCGTTACTGACACACTCTTCTCCAGCTCAAGAACAGAATCTCGACACCCTCATCTCCATCCTCTCCGAATCACTCGAAAAAGCGAAATACAGCCGCGACGCTAACGCGACACTCCTCAGCCAGTACGCGACAGTCTTCGCCGCAATGCTGAAGCAATTCCACGAATACAAGGCAAAGCACGTCACCGACGTCGCCGCATGGCACCGCTCGTACCGATCCCAGCTCGCCGAGGCTCGCGCCGAGAATAGCAGACTCCGGGAACAGATCTGGGGTATGCAGGAACGCGCGGGGAAGGCCAACGAGGTGCTCCGCAAGTTCCGCCGCAAGTACGACGAGGACGAGACGCGGTGGGATCGGCGCGTGGAGGACGTGGCCGCGCGCCAGGAGCTTCGGTTCTGGAAGCGCATGGCCATGCCCGAGGTCAGCGACGAGGACCCGTGCTGGAGCGACGACGACGATCTCATCGACCCTGCGGAAAAGGAGCGCTTGAGGGAGTTGGAGAAGAGAGCGGCACAGGAGCAACTTTCCGGGAGCCAGCAAATGGGTGACGAGTACTCGCGTCCGCAGTCGCCGGAATCTAGCATGATGGGCGGCGTCCCAATGCAGAGAGACCTGGGAATCCCCATGAGCATGCCTGTTCCGCCACCGAGGCCCTCGAGTGCGAATTCGAGCACTGGCTCCTCTGGCCAGTGAGGCAGTACATAATGCATTTAGTACCTGTTTTATGAAGCATGCCATCGGGATTGTGGTGGCGTAAGGAGCATTCTGGGTAAAAAGTTACCGGCGTTGGGGATTGCTGGAAAGGAGAATCGCTTGCAAAGCAAATGGGCGATCGCATTATACCTCATGTCATGCTCTTGGTCTCTTTTCACGAATACGTTAATTAATGGTTTGTTGAAACGAAACGAAACTCCTAATGAGACTGCCCCTTGTGTACTATTACTGTGGCTATTCAACTACTAAACTACTAAGGAAGCGTAAGGCACACTTATTTCGACACCGACTGGTTCTCGGCGTTCAATCCCCTGACCGCTGCGGTCAGTCAGCTCAGCGGTATCGCTGTACTTCGACAACACAAATCACTTTTCATCACGGACTAAAGTGACCCCCGTATCGTCCGAGATAGGAACATCCTCAAGCAGACGGATACCGGTCTGCACATCCATATCATCCAATGGCACGAGTAAAGGCTGCTTCACCTTCATGATTCTCGACTGCCAGACCCGGTAGCCAACATACAATATGATCGGGATCACCGTTCCGATGTTGTCGCGGATGATGGCCTGCGCATCATGGCCACCGACGGGCCAGATTGCCGTCAGGACATTTGCAGAGAGCCCTATGATGCAAATGGCGAGTCCAACCCAGCCGCCCCAAACACCAAAAGGGCTTTTCCAGAGAAGCTGGCTGGTGTCATTTCCCTGCGCGGCCCATGCCTTGCGGAAACGAATATGACTGACGCAGATGGATGCCCACGTGTAGTAGTTGCTAGCTCCCGAAAGGCTCAAAAGCCAGTCAAAGATGGCGCCACCGCCAGGTGCCAGGTTGACGAAGGCAAGGAGGCCAAAAACGGACGTGATGGCGAAGGCGTACACGGGCACGCCCCATTTCACGGTGGCTCCCCACCGAGGGCCCATGCCCCTTTCGCAGATAGCTTGGAAGGCTCGGCTGGCAGCGAAGATGCTAGTGTTGGCCATGGAAATGATTGCTAAGACGATGAGGGCGTTGAAGAAGCTCGGGAGATGCTGGATGTTGGCGAGTTCTGCTGCAAGCGTGAAAGGGCTATACTTGGCGCCGTGACCGGTCGAGGCCAAACCAGGATCATTAGATGGGACGACGAAACCGAGCAAGAGAAGCGATATAATATAGAAGAAGAAGATGCGGCCAAACACGATCTTGGTCGCCAAAGGTAGGGCTTTCTGGGGGTTCTTGCACTCGGCCGCCGTCAGGCCCAGGAGCTCCGTGCCACCGTACGACATGCCGGCGGTTCGGAAGACGAGGAAGAAGCCCGATATTCCATTCTTCACAGCGCCTGGATCGTGCCAAAATTTGGCTCCTGTTCCGTGTCTATGACAGGTCAGATTGATTCGATCGAAGCTGCGGTTCAAGCAGAAGATACATACCGGGGATCTGATGGAACAGCGCCAGTGATGATGAAGATTGCAACAAAGATGAAGACGGTAATAGCGAGGGCTTTGCCGATGCCGAGGGCATGTTCAATTTCGCCGAACCACTTGGAGCCAAGGAATGAGGTCGCGGTCAGAATGACCAGAATTGGCGTTATCACATAGGCCGGCTGCAAGTCTGGGGCCCAGTACTTGATCTGAGCCGCGATCACCGTGAGCTCGAAAGGGAAAACAATGAGCCAGTTAAAGACGAAGTTCCAGCCCATTGCGAATCCCCAGGGTTCCGATATCATGCGTCTCGAGTACTCGTAAAAGGCGCCTGCTACAGGATACGCGGCTGCGACAACATGTCAGCTTATTGCTGTTGTTGCGACCTGGCATGTCGATACTGGGAGGGAATAAGGGATAGGGATTGATATGGAAGAACACCTACCGGCGAGTTCGCCCAGGCAGCCCATGGTACATGTTACGCCGAAGCCGACGAGAGCGAAGTTGAGGACGAGAGACAGAGGTCCGCCAGAGCCCAGAGCAGCGCCAGAGCCGACGAAGAGACCGGCACCAATGGAACCACCCAGCGCCATGAATACCATATGCCGAATGGAGATGTTCCGCTCGAGCTTAGCACCCTCGGCGGCGTCGATGGGATCGGACACGCCTTGGTCGCTGGGCGATCTTGTGGCCCTCATCTCCAACATCGTTGCCTCCTTTTTAGGAGCCATCATGGAGAGGCCGGGATGGAGGAAAATACAAAGAATGAGGGTGAAGGTGGCAAGATTAGAGAACGAATGTGGGGGAAAGAAGTGACAAGATGATGAAAGCCGAGGTGGCCACTCGGTTTATATGAAGGGAAAGCAGCAGCTTCGAAGGACGGGCATACCGATGGAAGCAAGGAGGGGCGGGACGAAAATTCCACGGCACACGACCACTCTGATCGGCCATGTAACGATAAGAGATATTTTTTATGGGCAGGATACAGGTCATGAGACGATCGAGACTTCACAAGGTTTGGAAAGGGCGTTCCGGGTCTCTACGGCTACACGGGCGGCAGTTGCTCCAAGGCTTCTTTCCACTCGCGCTCATCCCAGACAGCTATCTTCTTTCTTTCTACCAAACATCAAAGATTAAGCCATGCCGAGGAATTACTCGATGTTCATCAACATTATTTCTTGAGCTCAATACCAGAAAGAGGGCATGAAGACGTGGGGAGATCGATTCTCTCTGCCGTCTTGAAAGCCCCGAGTCCCGCCGCCGGATTGGCGCCGTATCGGGAAGTGTCAACCAAGGTCCTCACGCAAGTCTGGCCCGCGATGATTCTGGTGCCACGCTCTAGCGAGGAAATGATGTACAGGACTCCACCCGTTGAAGAGGATAACCAAGGCCCGAGTGGTTTGTGGTTCAGAAGTTCAGGATGTAATCGAAACGTTCAAGAAGATCTCGAGAGTTGGACCTCTCGACGAGCATGAGCAGGAGGAGATTCGGATCTGATCCATGAAATTTGGCTTCATCAATGGGACTGGTCTATCTTATAACTCCCAGCTTTTTCAAAATCAAAATAAAAAATCGACGATGCCATTCCGCATAGGAAGCACGTCAATAGCGTGTACCCCAATGTCAAACTCAGACCAGCCTCACTGCGGCCATCATGGCTGACATATACTTTACTCGGAATAGCCATGATGCGTTTTGAGGGGGCGCGGGGGGCTTTTCTCGAAGAAGCCCTCATGCTCGTTGTCCTGCGACAGAAAATTGAGCCTGAAGCTTACTTTACCTTTGTGCTCACAGCGCCACAGAACATAAGCGGCTGGTTGTCGTATGGCCTGCAACCTGGAGAGTTGGCACCGCGTTGGGCACACCTTTCATGTCTGAGTACCCAATATCTTACTTTGCACTCATACCCCCTTACCTAGTAGAGAAGGATCGGCCAGGTACGCAGAAGCGTTGAGCGTGGGCAGTTACCAGATGAGGTCGAAATGTGACGAGCTTCTCAAGAAGGCGCGAGATGAGCTTGACCCAGCACGTGGTCTTCTAGAAAAATGAAGTTACTACTCGGAGCTGGGTGAGCTCAACCCAGATGATCTCATTTGAAGAAGGGCCTATATCCTCATGAACCATATCCTTGTGGCAAGTCATCTGCCGGCCGACATCAAGCCGAACCCGGCATACACGCTATCATACAAACAAAACTTAAAGTGCTAAAGAGACCGTGATACCTAGGTAGATCAGTAGCCACTTTGCTCCCGACGCTGGTCGTCCTCGTCGTCCTTTGACCCATTCGCTGCCCCTGCCGCATCCTTGATGGCCTGGTCGTCGCCTCTGAGCTTAGCAAAGTAAGACTTGATGTCCTCTGCGCCGATCGCTTTGCCGCTCTCTGCAAATTGCTGGAAGAACGGCTTCAGCTGGTCTTTCAGATGGTTGTACGCCATGACGCCTTCGATTGCACGGACACGGTCTACATTGCGCAAGGCACTCTCTCCACGATCCAGTAGGCTGCCGCTGCCATTTGTGGATCCTCCGTGCTCCGAGTTTCCGCCGTCAGACAGAGGCGGCTCGTACGTTTCCTCCTCTTCCAGAAGCTGTGGGTGCGGGTCCAGGTTAGGGTAGCATGATGAACATCTACAGATGTTGTTACGAAAGTCCTCTGTCATAAAGAGCGAGAACTCTTCAGCCGGTGGTGATGGCAGTGCAGCCCACCGGCATGTAGCGGACGATGCCTCCTGAGTCTCTTGCTTGACTTCCGGAGCACTGCTGTCGGGCTTGTCCTCGGTTGACTCAGAAGTACTTTTTAATCGTTTAGCGTCTGATAAGTCGACATCCTCTTCTGCCTTTCGTTTCTTGGTCGTCTCCTCTGTGCCTGATGCATCTGCGTTCTTTTGCGTCGAGTAGACCGCTGGTAGGAATCCTTTGGCGCCCGCATACTTCTTGATCCACGGGTTGGCGTTAACGCATTTGTAGCATAGAAATGCTTCAAAGTCGTCTTCGCCTGGAAAGCCGGGGGGCATCGGTGGGTCCTCGTCCTCATCCTCCCCATCATCATCCTGTTTCTTGGCGGTTGTGGCTTCGTCCCCGGGATGCGCTTCTGAATCTTCCGAGATTGTGGGCAAAGATGTGGCCTCTGCGGGTTCCTTCCCGGTTGTAGGCTTCTCCTTCTTCATACCCTCAAACCAATTGGGCCCCATTCCAACCAAGCAGCCAGGGTGGTACCAGTCTTCGCCGCAGCCGCCTGTCTCGGACGTGCCCAATCCTAAGCACTGGAACATGGTACCTTTCTGCTGAAACGGGTCATAATCACACTCGCACGCACAGAATCTGTTCCTAAAGTTCTGGTTGTACTTGTTGTTCGCGTCCGGCTCCTCCGAGTGCACGCCGCCCTTGGTATTAGTCGCAGGGTTAATGCGCAGACTGCAGGGGCTGGTAGATGGGAATCTCTTAGTACCGCAGTCGCACGTGAAGTTTCTCTTGGTAAATATTTCGACAAGGGTGTGTTCGCCGTGGCACTGGACAGAGCAAGCATAGCAAACTCCTGCGCCGTCGTAAGGGTCCTTCGATTCGGCGGGCGGAGGATTGCAGGTAAGGCAGGCGAAGACACTCTGGCGAAGGGAACCAAGAATCTTGGTGCAGCTTTCGATGCTCTGTAGAAAGTTAGGATAGCTGGTCTTGTAGTAGAAGGGAGTTGCGATAAGACGAACATAGGGAAGAGCCTCGCGCGCGTCGGCTTCCAATTGCATCTGGTCTCTAATGAATCTGTGCGAAGGATAGCTGTTAGTCTAGGCTCAACACTGGTGGATGTAAAAGAATGGCGCACTCAGCAGCTGTTTGAGAGTCGGTGGATTTCTGTGACGAGAAGCTTTCGCTGCGTGCAGTCTTCGGCGCGACGACCGGCGCATCAGCGTCGCCAGCCGGAGCAGGTGGTGGAGGGGGGTCCATTGACATTGTGAGAAATGCGCAATGTGAACTCCAGATGGTTGAATGAATTCGAGATGGTTGGGGTAATCGTCAAAGGATGGCGAAAGATATGGATTTAAAATCCACAGATCGATTGATTGAGGCAGCGAAGGTATGGAAGCAGAGCAGCACCATCAAGAAGTCGCGTTTGGGATGGTAATACGTCAGATACGTACCCTGCACTTTCCTCGCAGCTGTCCACAATTGCCCATTTACGCGTCGTCCTTTTTAGGCAAAGCGCCACTTTACGCGCTGACCCCTGACGCGATTCCCCCTGGCGACGTGGATGGGGCCCTCTAGTAATTTCATCCCACTCCCAGTTCTCCCCGTTTCTGCATCCCCCCTCTTCTTCACATCCGCTTCTGTCGAATTTGTCGCAAACCTCCGCAGTCTAGAAGGATAGTCGATCCAGTTCACAGAGCCTTCTTGACACACCGCCACCATGAGGTAAGGCTCACACTATTGCTAGAGTCGGCCCTGACACGAGTCGCTCCACTGTGGTACACGAGGAAAAGACTTCATCGCTAACCGTTTATGCAGTTCTCCCCTTCGAAGCAACCCCAGCTCTGCCAACAGAGGACTGGCCGCACAATCGAGTCGCAAGCGTGGTCGCACAAATGGCGACGATGGCTCATCAATCGGCCCAGCTTCGAGTCCTATGCCCTCATCGCCTCCTGCTCCTCTCATGGCACATGGTGGGGACGACGACGAGGACATTGAGGACGACGCGGAGATTCAGGATGACTTAGACGAACTTGATGAAATGGCCGAAGACGAAGTCGACCTTTTCCGTGAGGGATTCGAGGTAGATTACAGAGCTAGGGACGATGATGGATACGAAGCTCTCGACATCGACGACGAAGGCGAATATGGAGACATGGACCTAGCTGCGAGAAGGCGGCTTGAGGCCACGCTCAACCGCAGAGACCGAGAAGTTGCTCGACGCCAACGAGTTCCTGCCGCGTTCCTGCCTGGAGAAGATGACGAAGGCGACATCGATCTTTCGGCTCAACCCCGACGTCGGCGCCATCGCTACGACGAGGATCCCGATGAAGACATGGATGCCGACATCATGGATGAAGAGCTTTCTCTCGAGGCCCTGCAGGATGTCAAGGCGGCTAGTCTGACGGAATGGGTGTCCCAACCATTCGTGCAACGGACCATCAAGAGAGAGTTCAAGGCTTTCTTGACAGAGTACACCGACGACCACGGCTCCTCTGTCTACGGAAACCGCATTCGTACCCTTGGTGAGATCAACGCTGAGTCTCTTGAAGTCTCTTACGAAGAACTCTCCACATCCAAGGCAATTCTTGCCTATTTCTTGGCCAACGCACCCTCCGAGATGCTCAAGCTTTTCGATGAGGTTGCCATGGATGTCGTGCTCCTTCACTACCCCGACTACGAGCGTATCCACTCCGAAATCCACGTCCGCATTTTCGACCTTCCCGTTCACTATACCCTGAGACAGCTTCGTCAATCACACCTCAACTGTTTGGTGCGTGTCAGTGGAGTTGTCACGAAGAGAACCGGCGTCTTCCCTCAGCTCAAGTATGTCAAATTCGATTGCACCAAGTGCGGCGTCACACTCGGCCCATTCCAACAAGAAGCGAACACCGAGGTTAAAGTTTCGTACTGCCCAAGCCTGCCAGTCCAGAGGCCCCTTCACTCTGAACTCTGAGAAGACGGTATACCGCAACTACCAGAAGCTCACCCTCCAGGAGTCGCCTGGCACAGTCCCAGCAGGTCGCTTGCCTCGCCACCGAGACGTCATCCTTCTCTGGGACCTTATCGACAAGGCCAAGCCTGGGGAAGAGATTGAGGTGACTGGCGTATACAGAAATAACTACGACGCTCAGTTGAACAGCAGGAACGGATTCCCTGTTTTCGCCACTATTCTAGAGGCAAACAACGTTGTCAAGTCTCACGACCAACTTGCAGGCTTCCGCATGACTGAAGAGGATGAGAATGAGATCCGCAAGCTGTCTCGCGAACCCGGTATCATTGAGAAGATTGTCAATTCCATGGCGCCGAGTATCTACGGCCATAATGATATCAAAACTGCGGTGGCGCTATCCTTGTTTGGAGGTGTTGCGAAAGTAGGACGAGGCTCTCACCAAGTACGTGGAGACATCAACGTTCTGTTGCTGGGTGATCCCGGTACGGCGAAGTCCCAAGTCCTCAAGTATGTGGAAAAGACGGCTCATCGTGCCGTTTTTGCAACGGGACAGGGAGCCAGTGCCGTTGGTCTGACGGCCAGTGTCCGGAGAGACCCTCTGACGAGCGAGTGGACTCTCGAAGGCGGCGCTTTGGTGCTTGCCGATAAGGGCACCTGCCTGATTGACGAATTCGACAAGATGAATGACCAGGACAGGACGTCAATTCACGAAGCCATGGAGCAACAGACTATTTCCATCTCCAAGGCCGGTATCGTCACGACTCTTCAGGCTCGCTGCGGTATTATTGCTGCAGCCAACCCTATTGGCGGGCGATACAACTCAACAATCCCCTTCTCCGCCAACGTCGAACTCACAGAGCCTATCTTGTCTCGTTTCGACATTCTTTGCGTCGTCCGGGATACAGTTGAGCCTGAAGAGGACGAGCGTCTTGCTCGGTTTATCGTTGGTTCTCACAGCCGCAGCCATCCATCGACATCACAACCCGGGGAGGATTCGATGGAGGTCGAGCACGAGTCAGAGAACCAGGAAACGCAAGCAGAAATGCAGAGAAAGGAGGGCGAGATCCCTCAGGCACTCCTCCGCAAGTACATTCTGTATGCGCGCGATCGTGTTAGTCCCAAGTTGTACAACATGGACGAAGACAAGGTTGCGCGCCTGTTCGCCGATATGAGAAGAGAATCCCTGGCAACTGGCGCATATCCCATCACCGTAAGTCTTTCCAAATGACACCCCGAAACAACAAGCCAACTAACATCACTACAGGTACGTCATCTCGAAGCCATTATCCGTATCAGCGAGGCCTTCGCAAAGATGAGACTCTCGGAGTACTGCAAGGCAGAGGATATTGACAGAGCCATTGCCGTAACTGTCGAAAGTTTCGTCGGAAGCCAGAAGGTCAGTTGCAAGAAGGCATTGGCACGCGCCTTCGCCAAGTACACATTGAACAAGCCGAATTCTCAAAGAAGGGCTGGCGCTGGAAGCCAGGCGTCGAGACGAGCAGGTGCAGTCCGAGCATAAGCTGCTGATTCTTTCTTGAGAGCTATGATGTTGTGCATTTAATCACCATGGGCGGACCTTTACGTGTACTGGCAAGGCAGGCTGGCGGCGATCGGCGCAGAGGCGAAGCGCATGTATCCTGGGGAGGGTGTTTGATAGATGATATCAGGATATTGTAAGCAGTGGCTTCTTTCTTTCAGGGTTACAGAGTAATGAAAATCAAAATGAGACGAAAAGATTCCCACGTACAAGCACTGCGCCGCTCGATCTGTTGGGAGAGGGCAGCTCGTGGTTGATCGCCTGTTGAATACCTTGCTCGTGCCCGTAACCCGATGACTATCTTGAAGTGGTGACAAGAGAAATTTACCAAGAACCTCGACCGAAAGGTCTACAACAAGCGGTGGGTGGGCTAGCTTGATTAGGACGATTCCGCCGCGGTGGGATGGTCCAAATTAGAAACAACACGGAGGAGAATGCGGCATCATGCAGGTGACGAGAACGTGTGGTGCACAACTTGGAAGTTGGATCATGAACGGCAAGCCGCAGCCGCACAGCCTCGCTCTATCTCCCCCCATCTCGCATCTCCTGCATCGTACGCTACATGAGCTCAAACCGTTTGATGAGCGCAAGCTGGATGGACGTGGGGGAGGGGGGGGGGGCATGTTCTTTGGACATATTGTTACACTCGAACCACGTTCGTCATGTTCGTCTCCCTTGCATCGGCCTCGTCTGAAAAAGAAGAGTCTGACAAGGTTCCACGACTCCAACCAACGAAGCCAAGCCTTGATTCCGGGATGCGGCCACCCTGGCCGACCTAACCAACAGTCTTTCCATTGTTGGCCTCATCCGCGCCGCGATCCAGACTTGCACTACCTCCCGGACATTATGCAGGTTTGGGCGACGGTGACCCTCGCTTCTTCCGCTTGTAGCCCCTCCAACCCCCCTTCTCTCCGTCAGCTCATGCACCGTTGCTTGAGAAAGCTAGCCTTCTTTCCCAGCAAACACCCCCTGGCCGAGCTCCGTTATGTTAGGTAAGAGCGAGAATAGACTCAGCGATAGAGGTTCATCACACGTCTCCGAAGATCCGCGCCGGCTTCTTGCATATTCTACCTAGATTCCCTGCGAGTTTGAAGCAGTGATCCTCGACACGACAGGCGAGGTGGGCCAGGAGGGTCGAGGCTCTCACATATGAAGAAGTCTTCTTCCTCCCCGATGCCATCCGGTTTTCCTGCCGAGGCCACAAGCTGAGATTGGTTTAATCTCAAGAGGAACCAGCTTCAGAGAGCCTCTCTTCCCCCTTTACAACTAATACATTTGGTTTCATGTTTCAACTGCTTCATCATACCTCTCCCTGTTTTCACCTTTGGTCTCACAAACACCACGAGGTCTCATATGCACCATTCTATTCCTTTTTTCGCATGCCAATTTTGGTCTCCCTGTACACCCGTTTGCGGTCCGCGTCCCGGAAGGATCCCCCTTTGAACTCCGTCAATCTCCTGTCGCAGGAAACGTAACTAGACGACGACAAACGGTTCCAACACCCAGCCAACAAGGTTTCATACACACCTCCTTGCGAGTCTCATATAGCACACTCTGATTTGTTTGCGCCGTGTCACATCTTGTGCTACGCAACACCAAGACCTCGCTGTACGCGACGTAATTACGGCTTCAACAGACGTTGGCTTCCACCGCACGTCCAGACGTCCAGACGATCACCTTCACCGCCAATTTCTCGAGAAGCATTGCTCGACTTGCTGTCGGCACAGCCGACATACCCCCGATTGGAACCAACTCTTATTCACAGGGGCCAAGGATCCATCTCCCGTATTATCCAAAGATTTCGACGTCAGAACCAGACGCTGCGCCGATCTTTGGAGAGACGGAATCACCGCCCTTTTTCATGTCTCATTGGATCATCGTCGGTCTTTAATGTTTGCCCTGTAGTGACACCAAGACCTTGATATTCCTTGGTACCCACCCATCATGGGAGAGACCGATAGTAGTCGTGTCTCCCTCTCCATAGACCCCATCCCCGAGGCGGAGGAGACTCACCTGCTCGGTTCGCAAAGGCGAGATGGCAACTCTTCTTTTCCAAACAGCTTTCTTTCATCATCACCTCCCCGGAAAGATGGCTTTGAACCAATGACACCTGGTTTCGACATGGACCTTTCGACTATCAACGGCACTACACATAACCAGAGCACCGCCCCATCTCAATCTGATAAGTCGAGCTTCTACGGAAGAGACCCCTTTGGCATATCAGTGGAAGGAGCTACCAACCAAGTCTCGTTCGCACGCGTCCCCGTCGGTTCTAAGAGCAGCTCGCCCGCCACGCCTCGTTCCAACCAAGGCCTTCTAGGTGCACCAAAGCCTGGACCTGCATCACCACGAATAACAGAACGTCGAGCCGCACCGTTGTCACCCGAGTCAGATCTAGACATAATCTCGCCCATACTATCATCTTGGTCGTCTCCAGACGGGAAACACACAGCAACTTCAAAGCGCAAAACATCAATGGCGTGGGACGATCCGCCAAAGTCTTCGAAGCCATGGCCTCTCATAGAGGCGGAGGAAATGGGAGACCTAGGACACGCGACTCCAGGGAAGGAGGAGAATCGGCAACAGGTCAGACCGCTTCAAACGACGTCTGGTCAAAGTTCAACAAGACGTGATGAGAATTCTCTTGAAGAGCCTGATCCAATGGACGACGAGGAAGCATTTTATAAGAGATTCGGTAAGCCGTGCCCAGTATAGCTAGCCCATCCCGAGTGACTACTGACACGCAAATGAGGCCGTCCGCCGACCTATTGTGACTCACGGAACGATGTGCACAGGAAGAAGCACAACTGGCTCTCAATATCCATTTTGATTCTTTCATTCTACTCCACAGGACTGAGCTGCCTCTGGCTCGTCGTGGCTATCGTGCAGCCGCGTTGGGGCCCCCAGATCTCATCAAGCGGTGGCATCCTACCGGCAACAGCATCTTTGGTATGCGCAATGTTCGCCAAGACGATTGAAATATCTTTCGTGACCGTGTTTGTTACCTTTATCGGCCAGGTTTTGACACGCCGCGCATTCGTGAGAAGGTCAGAGGGCATGACCTTGGCTGAGATGACAATGAGGAACTGGGTTATTGTGAGTCAAGGTTGTGTCGTGTTGCCGGACAAGTCTTAACATTTGACAGCAACCTGGATTTCTGATTACACATTGGGAGACTTTGCCGTACGCCGGTATGACCCTTCTCGGAGTAGTGTCTCTCGTTGCAACCATTGCTTCAACGTTTTACACGACCGCGTCAGACGCCATGATCACGCCCAAACTCAAATTCGGCGACTGGGAAACCAAGACATTGAGCGGCTATGTCCTGGCGTCCTACATGAACCCCCCTTATGCGCGTGAAACCTGCCCGACACCGTTGCGAGATAGTGACCCATTGGGTGTTGATACCGCTGGAAACGCTTGCCTTGAAGTGCAATATGCCGGTCAATGTAGGCGTCTATCTGATGGCGATATTCTGTTTGAGTGATGCTGACAACTTGTGTAAAGCATATCGCAACTTGGTCTCGTTTCTAGGGGACTGGGAAGCCATCAATCGCAACGGCACAAGTGCTGCTGTTGATGTTCAAGACCGTCCAGTTGGAACGGCGTTGCTGTACGACAACACAACTCTCACTTCGACTTGGATTGAGACGACCTATAGTAACACGACTGAGCAACACGAGCGTTTCGGCAGGATAATTAACAATGTGACACTTGCAATGCCTCACCCGAGCGTCTATGATGCAGCAACGAATCCCGTCAACAAGATTCTTCAGCCGAATGACTTGTCAGGCGTCGGCGAATACGGCATCAGAGCGAGCGTGGTCTCGCCGGCACTAAACGTCATGTGTGTCAACATGTCTCCCGAGGAATTGGAGCCACTGGTTTATACAGCGTGGCCCGTTGCCGAATTTTACTATGACCACACGACAGTTCCAGGCCAGAAAACTGGTCCACCGGACTGGGAGAGATACGTTCCCGGCCCTTCGGAAACCGAGTGGCTGAATCGAACGTCGGTGGATGAAATCTTTCGCTGGGGCGAGGACTATGGGCGACGGCCGCCGGTGTTCCCGCTTGTAAGTGATCCTGATGAGCACATTAAGGAAGAAAGGGCTAATAGCAACCGATAGTACCCTGAGGACTACAACATGATAACCAACACATCGGTAGTGAGCGACGCTATCTATTTACTCACAAAGTCAGCTTCCATTACGGATTATACTCTTTGCGAAATGAGATCATGGGTGTCACCTAACTGCTCAACTCATTTCAACATCTCGGGCACAGCTGGAGCACACATGCAAGCACACTGCGATGACCCCGACGATACGGACAGCTACACCAACGTCCACACCGAAGTCACGGAATCCACCCCCGTGACGGACTGGAGGGTAAGGAGCCCCTAACAACTCCTTTCGTTCGTTACTTACTTCGTAATTACTCACCCGTGTTTCTGTGTAGAACATTGCGGATCAATGGCGCCTGTCAATGGACATCAACGGCGGAGCCCAAAACAACAACGCCTCCAACGCCCGCATCCTCACCCAACTCGTCCTCCAAGAGCCGCAGCTCAACCCCCTCCTCCCCTCGGTAGCCGAAGCCCTCGCCGTCTACGCCTCGTCAACACTCATCATCGGCGGTCTCAACACCCCCTTCGAACACTACTGGCGCCACGAAAAGATGCAGCTCGGCGCACCGGGCAGCCTAGACCCCTTCAACGCCTCGATCCGCACGCAGGAGTACACCTCGGGCCACAGCGCCGAGTGGCAAAAGTGCTTCTACCTCGTCCTCGCCCTCGTTTTTGTTATCAACATCATCTGCCTCGCCTACCTCCTCTCCCGCTCCGGCCTGGTGACGGACTTCACGGAGCCGCAGAACCTGTTTGCGCTGGCCGTCAACTCGCCGCCGAGCGAGCAGCTCAAGGGCAGCTGCGGCGGCGGGCCTGTCAAGAGGGATCTGGTTGTGCCGTGGCGGGTTGCGTACACGAGCGGTGCGAATCACTACTTTTTCGAAGAGGCGAACGATAGGCCGTGGCGCGGCAAGTATTCCAAGCAGGACTCGTCTGCTGATACAGGGTACCATGGACAGGAGCGGAGTAGTTACAAGAGGCTGAGCACGAGGAATACATGGTTATGAGCGGAGGTATGCTGGCTGTGCTAGCTGTGCTGGCTCTGATGACTTTCCTTGGCAAATGATCTTTTGGATACTTCTGATTGGAGGGCTGGAGGTAATTGTGTTTTGACGTTGGATACCTTGGTATGGAAAGCGGCTGCCCAGTCGGGCACTTATTCTGTTTCGGAGCTATAGTTGAGAAGCGCTTTGCTTCAGACAATTGCCACTTGGGTAACGGTAATATCATCTCTTGTACATGAGGCGTATACAGAAATATACAACTCTGCAACTCGGTCGTCACAACTTGTTATCCTCTGTCAGTCTTGGCGGTTTAGTATTTACCTTTAGGGCCTGTGCTCATCGCCGCCCCCCCCTACTCACCTTGGAGTCTTGGAGTCTTGGACTGGACCTGTCACCTCGCGGCATGAAGCGCAAATTTGGGCGGCATTAATCGCACGCACCCACCGGGGCCGACAAGGTGGTTCCGGCAAGCAACGGCGTTCGAGAAAAGGAGGCTGTGCAAAACGTCCTCCAAACTTGAAGGTTTCCCTCATCAGTCCTCCTGAATCTTCTAATGGAAATCTCACCTAACCCGGCCGAAGGGCGGGCGGCACCCAGTCATGATTTGGCCAACTGGCATTTCTCGGCGGAGAAGAAATGCCTTACCACCCGTTCCCCATCCCCCCCCTCCTTTTTCATTTGCTAGAGACTCGAGTGTAGTCAGAAACTCTGAATGATTCCTTGGTTCTGTGATGATCACTAGCCAGCCTCGCCGCCCATCCTATCCGTTTTTTTAGGACCTATGCTCACGCGGGACTAGCGATTGTGGCTTATCCTCACCTCTTCATCTCCATGCCAAGCATTTTCAATCAATCAAAACACGGACATTAATGGGGGAGGAGGAGCTAACAATTACACAGCAATCCTTGGGGTTCAGGTGTACTTTGGCGCCAAACTCTAAAAAGATTGTACAGCAAGCACAGCAAGCGCTATACGGGAAAGCACCAAAGCACTGCACACAGCACGGGGACAGAGAAACCCAGGGCAACAAAGAAGGAACATATCCAAATCCTTCGACGCTTGCAGCGGCATCTGTGCGGGTTGAGCAGCCACGTTTGGACGCCTTCTGTTTTGATTTCTTGGCATCAAGCATCGCCCGTGGCTTCTCTCCTTCAATCTTCACCTTGACACCTACTTACTCTGTACTTGGTACGGATACATGTACGGATACTAAGGTATCTGAGGTTATCCACCAATTTGCCTCTCGCCTCGCTTCCCTTTCCCATCCACAATTATTTCGCAGCTGCCAAGTACGGAGTACGGATCCCTCACGCTGCAGCTGGCTGTAGATCTCTACATCAGCTGCATCACCTACCTTACCTCATCAGTTCTTTCCGCTATCTGCGAATATTCGTCCTTACTTTGTACACGCAGAGAGACTTGGTTGCATCTCGTGCACCACCCACCGCATCAACACCCAGGCCCTTGGTCTTGGCATCCACATAGCGACATTGGCATCCCATCCCACTCAATCAGCTCGACGTTGCGAGGCAGTCTTCTCATTTCAGATTGATACCAGTCGATTCGGAATCTCGCGCACATCAGACAACAAAGGAGGTCCAAGAGCCTTGTTCAATTGAATCATCCGTACAACACGTTTCCTGGCCCCATCTTGTACGGATACCTACAAAAAACAGAAACCGAGGGGGAGGCGAAGGGGGGCCAAGCTAAACTGGACCACCACCAAAGCAATTCCGCTTGCAACATTCCTTTCCACGCCTAATCTCTCTCCCTTTATTGAGGAATGCCAGCCCTTCATCTCTGGCATCATCAACATCTACAATCCGGCTCTTGCGATTGAACAGCAGCCGACGGGGGGGCAACAAGGACGTCCAAACTTACCACGGAAAGCCTCGCTCCACGACCGGTATTACCGAGCTCGAGAGTAGGACAAAGTCCGCCTACAAGACCGCTCGAGTGAGGGAAAATGCGTACGTCTCTTCATCGCCATCTTTACCCGTGGCTCTCTATCATGCGTTTCTGTCGGTATTCTAACAGCTAGCTAGCTTACTATGCCAGAACCAAGGGCCGGACCCAGGAAATCCCGCCCGACGGCAGCCGGTCGCTGCTGCCGCCCCGGAACCCCCTCAGTGAGTATCCGGCGTCCAACCCTACCCACTTGCCTAATCCTACATTCCCGGGATCTTCTCTTCTCCCCCGGCCCTCCACTTATTTTGTCCACAAGCGCCCACTCAACCCCGTTGATGTCCCCACCATCTCACCCACTGAATCAGTCCATCACACAACCTTTCTCGTGTGCTCTAGCATCTATCTGTTTCATTTCTCAAGGACGGACTATCACGAACTCTCGTGCTGACAAGAAACCACAGGCAGGCCAACTTCTCGCTCATTACCGGACCTGAGTGCCGATGTACGGAATGCTCTCTCAGCACCGAAGCACGACGACGTAAATTACCGCCACAGCTTCTGGACCCGCTGTCGTTGCTGCCGTCGTTCACGGAGTGCCATCGATCTGCTCCGTAGAGTAATTCTTGTACCGCTAGCCGACTTATTTTGGTTCTTCGAGGAAGCAGCTGAGTCTGTGCCACCCGTCATTCCGGCGCTCATCGCTTGTTTATTCCTGTTGGTGGCGCTACCCATGCTGATTGCATGGGATTTCCTCTGAGTGAGAGGCTGCGTGTTAAGGAAAGCAATGATCAGGGCACACCTGGTCGTGTGTGCCTCTGCGACAGAAGATTCCAATAGGGCCCTTAAAGATGGCCCGGATCCAAGGAACGGCCCAAGGAACGGGGGTGGTAGACCGTATGCTACGACAGACTGTACCGACTGGCTTTGTTTATTACCATGGCGCAACGACAAGCGAACGGATGAAATTCGGGGCATACCCAGATTCTGTATTTTTATTATCTCTTTACATAGATATGGCACGGTGAATGCACCTCTGTGCTCGTAAACCATTAATTCTCTGGCTGGGAATCGTAAACGGACATGGTGTCTCGTCAAATACTGTCGTAACAGATATCAAAGGGGTTAATCAATCCCCCAAACATAGGCATACTCGCCGCGTCCGCAGGCCAGTGCCAAATCCTCGCAATCTCCTCCATCAACTCCTTATTCGCCGCTTCACTCCCGCCGCCGCCACCGCCAGCTGTGGTAGTCACGCCGCTATCCTCGGCTCGAACGCGAGTCTCATACCAATCCTTGATCCAGCCCATCTTCCCAATCAAGTCCTCGCACATGGAACCTCTTACATCAATGTCGCTGCCCCCACTGATATCATCCCAGTCAAACTCGACGGTATTATACGCCCTGCCACAACCACCTCTAACCCACGTCTCCTCTTTCAGCCGTCCCATCCTCTCCCTGCCCGTCTGTAGCACCCGTCCGAGAAACGCGATCAAGTTATCGCAGACGTCAGCGAAGTTCATCTTGGCACGCGCGCGGGGTAGGTCCCAGCCCTCTACGCCGTGGAGGATGAGCAGTCGTGTTGTTACGGCGAGGACGCCTTGGGCTAGGCCCATGTCGACTGAGGTGCGGTAGATGTAGGCTTCTGGTGGTAAGGCGAGGACGGCGTCGAAGTAGGTTTTCGCTGCGGAGAGGGCTGCGTGGAGGTAGGTTGTGCTTGGGACGGCTGGGGGGTATAGAGAAGATGAGGAGGAGGAGGTTGGGGGTTTTGTTGCTGGTTCGTAGAGTTGGACTAGGAGGGCTTTTTGTTGGAGGTTGAGGTATGCTGTTTTGGAGTGTTAGTTTTCTTTTCTTGCTCTGGTTTCTTGAGGAGGTTTCTGTATATGCCATGATGGACTTTGGGATAAAGGGGAAAAGGGGGGGAAGGGGAGTGTTACCATGAGAAGGCTCCCGCGGATCAAGTCCCTCCAAAATATCTTCCACACCAGCACGAATCCGCCCAACCTCCTCCTCGAACCCATCCCCCATCCCTCTCCCGCGCTCGCCGTCGATCACGGGGCCGAACCCGTCGGCGACGCGCGCAGAGGTAGCTGCCATCTTGAACATCCTCGCCGCCATCCGGTCCTCCAGGCTCCCGGACGCGGCGAGGTTCTCGTAGCAGACGTCCAAGTACCCGAGCTGTTGCTGCCCCTGAGACGACTTACGTCCGCCATCCGAACCGAGACAGTGAAGGAGAGGATTCTGCCTGCGTGAGAACTGCGCGCAATTGGACGTCACCACACAAAAGAGGCCGAGAAAGGTGCGCTGTTCCTCGAGGGTATGGTGTTCCGTCGCGCTGAGGGATGCTTTGTTGGAGAAGCAGTCTTCTGGTTGCTGTTGTTGGTGCCACTGCTGCCATTGCTGCTGGGCTGGGTATTGGGAGCCGGGGCGGCAGGGCGAGGGTTGGAGGAGGGAGCGTGGGGGTTTGGTTATGCCTAGGCTGTGGGCGTAGCCCAGGGCTGTGTAGACTAGGCGGGTGATTTGCTTGTCGAACCAGTATCTGCACTCTGCCCTGTTGTACGGAGTAACTCTGTCAGTTGATTGCTCTTTCTTGAGGATATCCTCGAGGACCCCAGTAGACGCCGGCGAGGGACGTGATGCAAGGTCAGTCCAATGGAAAGGACGTACTCACCACAGAATGATAACCAACACCCCCTGCAACAAATCCAAGCCCCCTTCCTCCTCGAGCATCATCCGCCTCCCCATATCAGCCAACACCTCGCGATGCATAGCCTCGGCCCTCGCCTTCCCCACCGGCGCGGCAGCGAGCATGACGGCGCGGAACAGGAACGGCTTCTCGCGCGCGAGCCGCTGCGGCGATCCCGATCCCGGTTCCACGGTTGGTCCGTCGATCTGGATAAAGGGAAAGTTGGGGACAAAGTTTGCGCGGAAGTCGGCGAGGATGTTTGACGCTTGGGACCAGGTTAGGCCTAGGGGTGGTGTTGCCGTTGAGGTTACGACCAAGGATGAGGAAGGGGAGTGAGAAGAGGAGGACTGGTAGTAGGAGGGGAGGTTGTGGGTTACGGGGCCTGGGGGGTTTCTTTGGATGAGGGGAGCTGATGGGTGTGAGTGTGAGTTTGAGTGTGAGGGGGGCGAGGAGGTTGAGGGGGTTGAGGTTGAGGTTTCTGCTGAGGGCGTCGAGGCCGCTGGAGACTTTTCTGGGGTGACGAGGTGGGCTATTTGTTGTTCTAGTGTTGCGACGCGGCTGTGGTGTTTATGTGTTAGTTGAGGTCTTGGATCACGGCCGTTGTGCTCTCAAGATGCCACTCTTCCCAAGCGTCCCAGTGAGGAGGAACTATCAAACACTTGGCACCAGATACGTTCCGAGATTCATGGGAGATGAAACTTACTTGACAAGAGGCTTGATCTGCCGTGTCCTTCTTACGCCCCTCGTCTTGGCCGAGCAGTCAATCTTGAGCCGCTCACATCTGAACCCCGTCACATCGCGTCAGTTCCAGTGTACATGGTCTTTGAACAGCCAAATCCCTCCACAGATGACACCCGGGGATATGGCTTCTCATACGAGGTCTTATTAGGCAAACATACCGATCGCAGAGGTGCTGACGAGCGTTCTTCTCGCGGAAGTTACAGCGGGCCTTGGCCCGGGTACAAGGCGCGCAGGCGCGGAGCCGGCGCGGAGGACTGTCGGGCCTCGGGGGCAGTAGTTGTGGGTCCATCGTTTACATGCAAGTACCGTAAAATTCCCAATCTTGACCTGGCTTTGGTTTGAGGTTGCTCTCTGATATCCCTTGCCCTTGGTTCGATCGAACGGTGTAAGCATGCGGCGTGGGAGACGTTCGGAGATGGGAGCAGCTTGTTCGAGACCACGTAATAAAAAGCATGTGAATTCGTTAAACAGTAGACGACCGGGAATATCTCAGAGCAAAGTGCATGGCCTTATGTACGACGCGACCTTGGCGTCTGATAGTAACAGAGCTTAGGATTCTACCACAAGTTGAGGTCGTCATCACGGATGAACTCGAAGTTCGTTAACCCGGTCCGGGATAAGACTGAGTACCGCGGGTTTGCGATTGTTAAGCAAACGGTGGGCGGCCACGCCTCTATACTAGCAGCTTAAAACCCGGCGACATGCCCAGGTAGGTGATCCTTCCAGCGTGGGAGGCATGTAAGCGCGACGCAAGTCCCAAAGACACCAAATAACCTGCCTTACCATGAATGCGTCTCCGAAATGTATCCGAACTAGCAGGCAATCAACAAGCACCAAGACAAAAAGAGGCGTCTCGTCTGAGTCGTCTCAAAACTCCCACGTGCGACCGCATGCAGGAGGGACACGCCGCGATCGATGCCAAGTCTCCAAGTCTCGATCTGATTTCTTGCGACGGGGGTCTGTTCCTTGGACTGCGTAAAAAAAAAAAAAAAAAAAAAAAAAAAAAAAAAAAAAAAAAAAAAAAAGCCAGAAGGGTTAGTCAGTCGCATGCTAACATTATGCCATCTGATGTCCGAGTTTTATCGCTACCTTGTGCTGGTAGAGATAAAATAACGGAGTTGGGATTATTTCTCCCAAACAAAAAATGGAGACGACGTGAAGAGTGGATGACAACCGGGCCCAATTCTCACAGCACTTACTAACACAAGGCAAGGAATGCCTGTGTTAGTGAAAGAAAAGACTTTGAGTAAACAACAATCCGGTAAACACAAACTACATCAACGGTGGACAAGAGAAAACGGTGTGACTTTGCGCAACGTGAAATAGGTATCATTAAAATTGGTGTGAAATAGGTATCTGCGGCGTCGCGATTGACATACAGCCGCCTCCTGGCGCGTTAACCCCCGTGTAGTCGTGATGCTGCTATGTACAGCCCGGATGTCTTTTCTTCAGTACACGCCTTTCGTGAGACCCCAATCCTGCAGACTATGACGGAGTGTCGAGAATCGAAACCGACGATCGGTTGGTAGTGAGTGATCCGCGTGATGTGTGTGGTGTGAACGTGATTGCTGTCGACAGATGATGCTGGCTCCTCCACATGTAGCCAGTCGCGACTCTCTCTTCGAATGTGACGTATGTGTAAGTGAGTAAGAGAGCGTCGTCCTGCTACCGACTTCAAAGCGCGTCCAACTTGAAGATTGATTCATTACTTCCCCGGCTGAGCTTCCCTCTTGTAATCTCCATGAGAGGCAAGAGGTCTTGCTTAAGCGGCCTGGGACTCCTTGGCCTGTCTCTCTGCCTTGCGCCTGGCGAGGCACTTGGAGATCATGAGACCAGAGATTCCGAGGGCGACGATGAAGATAATGCAGAAGACGACGACGACTCCGGCCTCCTTCTTGGCCCAGTTTTCGCGCTTGGCGAGCTGGTGAACGGCGTCGCGGGCGACGATGGTGTTGATGGCAGGCATTTTGACGGAAGGTGAGTGGAGGTGAGATGAGTGGAGAGTCGGCTGTAGGAGAGAGAAGAAACTTGTCAGCGGATGAGAGTAGGAAGAATGGAAAGGCAAAACAGAGTAATGAAAATCAGACAGCCAAGTAGAAAGCAATGGTGACGGGTGAGTGAGTTAATAAGTACGAGAGGGAAGCTCGTGGCAACTGTTTGCGATGAGTGATGCTTGCCGAATGCGGCCAGGATCCGTAGAAAAAAACACCAGAGCTAGAGGTGAGCGGCTTGTCCAATTGAGGCGTTTTATGGAGACGACCGTCTCTCTTTCTTTTTAGAGCCCTGTGAGCTTGGATGTGGTCATCGTCATTCCCGGGGTATCCGGCGTTGGCGTCTAGAGAAGATATCCACATGTTTTGTGTTTCTTCACGGTGTTGTTCTTGGATCCTGGGCGCGAAGCTCGTCAAGATTGTCGCAAAAAGCCAATTGACATTGCAGAGCATTTTTTTGCAGCAGAATTGAGAGTTGCGAAGAATTGGGGATTGAGAAAGTTACCTTTAGTGAAGCTGGGAGAGAGAGAGAGAGCTCAACGTCGGACGGTGAGAGTGAGGTGGGGAAAGGAACCTGGTGGCTCGATCGCAGTGGCTAGGGGAGGCCGACTAGAAGCGCAGTTGGTCAGCGTCAACGAAACGAAGCTTGGCATCTGGAGCTGGAGCGCAAGGAGAAGGGCAAGCAGCACGAGAATGATTACCTTGATGAGAGGAAGCGGGAATCAATCGGGGAAGGAATTGACTGCTTACGGGATCGTCGAGTGGTTTGAGTTGGAGGAGGGAAGAGAGAAGCAGGTGGGCGAAATGGAAGGTAGGAAGAGAGGGGGGTGATGAGGAAGGGCGGGCAAGGTGGTAAATAGCTGCTCAAATAGTCGGCTGATTGGCAAGGCGAGCAAGCAATAAGAAGGAAGCTCCGATGGTGATGGAAGGTAAGGTAAGGTAGCCAGCCAGGTATGTACCTCATCAATGTACGTTGGGTAGGTAGGCCAGGCAGGTATCTGTAGGTAAGAGCTTGACGATGAAAGGCAATGAGAAAGTATCCTCACAAGTTACGGTACTTGGCAGAGTCATCTCGTCTGGGCACTCTTTGGTGGTGAACTGACACTATTGGCAAGTCGCGATCCGTACATTGCTGTGCCATATCCGTAGTGCGTACCTACTCGTGAGGTGGCATCGGCCGTCGCGGTTGCTCTGTTAGTGGCAGTGAGAAGGGCGCCAAGCGAGCAACGAAAAAAGCTTGTCTCCATGGATGCCGGGAACACGGCAGGGTCATCACAGGCATCCGGAGTGGGGAATCCACGCCTGATCGCTCGACATACCCTGTCACCACCACTTATACACCTTGCCCGACACAGGGAGTGTGTTTCCGTAGCGCAACACTTGCAGCCCGTCTTTCATCTGTTGGTCCTATCCGTATGCCCTCTTTCTCTACCTATTGCTGCGGGAATTTCTCCATCACCCACCGTCACCAAGCCATCTTGCTGCTTACCGCTCACCTCCGACGTAAGAACTCCCAAGTCAACACTATTCCACATTCACACTTACACCATCAACCTAAGTTAGGTAGACGTAGGTCGGTGCTTGCGCACAGAGACTGCCAGACTGGGCGGACCATTGGATGACATGGGTCATCTCATGGGGCCGGAGCCGGGATGAGGCCCTAGCACACACACCCTTCAAGTTCCGGTGGGTTCGCAGGGCCACCGGTTCGCCGACCTCTGCCGGGTTGTGGGCTGCATCCTTATGTTTTTCCTGCTGGATTCATACCTTACGATACCGCTGTATCCGTACCTTGTGCCAGTAGGGGATATCCGTGTCGTTCACGTGTACCAGACATGCCAGCAACACGACAAGACAACAAGAATCTCAGCAGCCAGACAGACTCTTCAAAGCTCTCTGTCATCACTCGGGCGCATCTGACTCTGCTGCTTGGGTTAGTAGCTGCCGCCGCCGCCCCTTCATGACGAACATGGCAGCTGCGTAGTAATTCCATCCATAGCGTTGGTCTGGTCTGTCGCCCTCACCGATGTTCCCAATGGAAGGACATTGGGGGGGCATTTGGGAGATTTCTCGGGAATGCCACAGCAGTCGAACCGCCGTACCTGGCCGACAAAAGGATCCCCTTGCCACGCTCGTTTCTACTGACCGCAAATGCACTTAGTAACCGCCGTCACGTCCCATTTTTCTTTCTTGTTATTGTCAAGAGAGTGCCCGAACGAACAGTGTCGACACTTCTTCTGTTGAACCCTGCTACAAATCGCTCGAAATTTGCGCATCCCTTGGCAAATCACATCGCCTCGACAATGACGAGCCTTGGCAGTATCGGCACCTGAGAATGGCTTCAACTCCAAGACTCTTGGATAGGTGAGGCATACCTGCTAGACGGAGCTTCCTCTCTCAGGCTTGTCAGACTGCGCCCGGCCAAGCTGCTGCGGACAAGTTGGCAAAGTGTTGGCGACTTGGTCCAATGGAAGGAAGCCCATGAGCCTTTTTGAGTTGGGCCAAGAAACTGCCCGAATCAGGCATCTGACTGAGCCTCGGCCAAGCAAAGAAGATCATCACAGCAATGAGCACCTACGCGGGGTTGGCTTAACCCAGCCTGAGGTAATTACCATGGCACATGAATCCAGCACTGAGAAACAAGAAGAAACATCACCCATCAGTGGGAGACGAGGCGAAGGTTACATGGTCCCATTGTTCCTTTGTTTGTCGCATCACATCTCAGTCCTCACACAGTGACAAGGTATCACACCAGCCCATCACCATCAGATCGGGCGTCGCGCCTAGTCAGGGCCGATGGCTGTTCGTTTCGCGGCCCAGCCACCCCCTCGATCCGCCGCTGCACCGTCCCGTCGAAAACCCTCACCTGATCAGTCATCCAGCAGCCATCTTTCCCGTCTACAATCTTGGGCCCTTCTCAATCCCTTAGGTTCCGTTCGAAAAAGAAGCGACCGTTCCCTTGCAGCGTCACAGCGAGCCCACCCACCGCCAACGTCTTGATTTGATAACAAAAACCTCATAAAACCCCCCGGCTTGATAGTACTAGGTACTGCGTAACTCCTTCAAACTGGTGGACCAGACTGTATCGCTATCGTGAGGTAAAGCCAAACTCAGGCAAGGTAAACAACCTGTTGCCTCGGAGCTCCAAGGTGACAGACAAGGCCCCATTCATTTACCGGCCGGGTCTCTGCGCGCAATGATACACATGGGTAACCTTTGCATCCGTCCAGCCGGAATCCCACCCGCTGCCCCTTCCGCTGCCCCAGCGCGAGTTTTTTTTTTTCCTTATTCTTTCTTTTAATTCTTTCCAGCGGATGGATCCAATCCGGCGCTTGCTGCTTATCGAGAGAGAGCGGGCTCTTGTTTAGGAACTAACATATTATGTCCGGCGTGCGCCCGTCCCTGGCCGCTAGATGGTAATTCTCGTCGGGTCCTTGTTCGGTCGCCAGCCAGCTCAGTCATCCCGTTGACATTTCTCTCCATTGCCGTTACTCCCGCTAGGAAGCTGGCTTTGGTTGTCTTATGTAACCTCTCTAGTCTAGCGACGATGGGTCAGATCATTCGCCGACCCGCTCATTCGGCCTATGACGAAAAGTTTACCAAAGCAAATCGACTCTTCAGCAACTGAAGACTGAACGTATCTCAGGTATCCGTACTTTAGTTCGTGCCGTAAGGTGCACTGAAGGACAGGAGGAGCTGAGGAGGTCATGCGCTGCACGTTATTACGGGCCACCGGCGGAGACGCCTAGCTTCGGAGGTCAAGCGACCAATCACCGCCAACTTCAACGTCCGGCCGAGGAGTTCCTTCCCCCGAACTGCACAGTCGGAAGCTGCCGCGTCGCAGCCGGGGAGGCGGTACGTACGCTGACATGAAATGCTGCCAATATCATCCCGAGACCTGAGGGCGTCGTCAGCCATCAACGAGGCCAGCTGAACGGTAAATCGGCTGCATTTCTATATTCCTTTCAAAGCTAAGATTCATCGTCTCTGACGCGAATCTGCCATTGGATTTCGCCAAGATCTCAAAAAGTCACCATCGTTGTACCCCATTTATTATTCCACAGACAGGTTGATCCGTCTAGTTCCCCGCATCATGACGGTTCTCAGTCATCTAAAACGAGTCCATCGACACAATGTCGCAACCCTGCGCGGCTCTCCCGCCGCAGAGGTTTCCGGCGCCCTCGGTGACTTGGGGACTCTTCTTCCTTTAATGATCGCCCTCGCTGTCCAGCATTCCATTTATCTCGATAGCACCCTACTTTTCTCGGGCATCTTCAACGTTGTGACCGGCGCCGTCTTTGGCATCCCGCTGCCAGTCCAGCCGATGAAGGCGAGTGCCCTCAGACCCACGCACATCTAAGGAATGAACTCTGCATACTGATTGTTGTGTCTAGGCAATCGCCGCGGCAGCCATCTCACGGTCTGAATATGGCGGCATCAGAACCGTCATGGCCGCGGGCCAGTGGGTCAGTCTGGCCGTCCTACTCATGAGTCTCACCGGCCTGCTGCGCTGGGTCACGCGAAACGTACCGGTCCCCGTCGTCAAGGGCATCCAGCTCGGCGCCGGTCTCTCGCTCGTCATGGCCGCCGGCTCCGGCCTCCTCAGGGACCTCCACTGGACCCATCCCGTCCTCGACAACAGGCTATGGGCTCTGGCCGCCTTCCTGGTACTCATCTTCACCCAGGGCCTGCCGCGCTTCCCCTATGCGCTGCACATCTTTCTCCTGTCGCTCGTCTTCGCCTTCATCTCCATCATGACTGCGCACGACAACCCGCACACCTACCTGCCGGAGCCCAGCCTCTGGAACCCCCACTTTGTGCACTGGGAGTTCAACTGGTTCAAGTACAAGCCGCTGTCGATGGCCATCGGCCAGCTCCCGCTCACGACCTTGAACTCGGTCATCGCGGTGAGCGCGCTCGCGGCGGATCTGCTGCCGGACATGCCCACGCCGTCCGTCACCGCCATGGGCATCAGCGTCGGCGTGATGAACCTGGTCGGCACCTGGTGGGGCGCCATGCCCGTGTGCCACGGCGCGGGTGGGCTCGCGGCGCAGTACCGCTTCGGAGCGCGCAGCGGCGCGAGCGTCATCATCCTGGGCCTGTTCAAGATCGTCCTCGGCGTCGTATTTGGGAACTCCCTCATCGGTTTGCTTACGCACTACCCAAAGAGCCTGCTGGGCGTCATGGTCATCGCCGCCGGTCTCGAGCTCGCCAAGGTAGGGCACAGCCTGAACCACGGGGCTTCTGACCTGTGGGAGAGCTCTGCTGGCAACGAGGGCGGCGCCGGCGGCGTCGGGGGGCTCGTCAGGCAGCATCGGTCACTCTCGGACGATGAGAGGGCTGAGAGGTGGACTGTCATGCTGATGACTACGGCTGGGCTCCTCGCGTTCAGGAACGATGCCATTGGCTTCATTGCGGGGATGCTTTGCTTCTGGGCCTACCGGGTCTCGGAGAGGACGCAGAAGTGGTGGGAATCCAGACGTGGCCGGTCTCTGTTTGGTGAGCGAGCGCCGCTTCTGAGTTAGTGATTTGAAGTGCGATGTGCTTCTTGTATACTTTGCAACACGGGTGTCTATTTCGCATCTACCAGCTTGGTGGATATGATCGTGGATATGATCCATGTGTATACCTTATTTCCTGTTGAGCCAACTCACAGGCTCTTTATATACTGAAAGGTGAATCTGATGCATGCTGCACGTCTTTATGAATTGTTTTTTTGAGACGGATAATACCGGCCGCTGGTCAAGCTTTTACCATTCTGAGCTCGGTATATTCTAAACGTCTCGTCAACGACGGACAGTCACACAATGAGCAGAAACAGGGAATAAAACCAGAATTGAGCAATAGACACACTGCTCGATCACAACGGCGTTAGAAACACTTTGCTTTCCAAGTTGAGTGCTTGATATTTACAGAGTGCTTCCGAGGATCGCGAATATCAGATAGAGGGTCTACACGAGCTTCTCCTTCACCGAAAGACGCTGCTATTGGGGCTTGACCGAGACAAGTGGGCACCGAGGTCGGAAGAAGTGGGCGATCTACGCAGGGTGGTGCTGCCTTTGCGGCTTTAAAGTCTGCAAGGAATCGGATGAGGCTTTTTCTCGGACCCTGACCGAAGCGATGCATCGTGAACAGCCTTGCTTCTCACCGCAAGACCTGGTCCGAACCAAAGCGCTGGGTCCAAGGCTGAGGCATTGAGGCGCGTACGGAGTATCTCACATGAATGCAATTGGCCGCATCAAAGGACTACAATAAGGTAGGTAACAGAATGAGTCATAGCTTCAATGGGATTGGGGCGCGGTGTTTCTTTCCATTGGATTGTGAAGGGAAGCTGCAGTCGTGAATATGAGGGAGATGGAAGGGAAGGAGCGTGCGTTGGCAAATGGGCAGGAGCCAGGAGCTCTCTTTCCAATCCCCGAATTGGATGGGATGAGCAAAAGGAGGGAAGGGAAGGCGGCGACGGAGACGCTGAAAAGGAAGGACCTGGCTGGGCAGGGACGGGCTGGATGGGAGGCTCTTTCCTCCTATTGGAAGAGAAAAAAGGTACTTGGGTACTTGTACAGCGCGGGGAAGAAGGCTGGTGTGTTCAGTGTCCACGGTGAATCTCACCGACAGCCAATCAGAGACGCTTCCGTCGACCCTGTCAATCGCAGCCAGGACTGAATTGCTCAACGCCGATTTTTTTGGCATTCGGCCGTCTCGATCGCAGCCTTTCTCAGGTCCATACCTCGTCGCGCCTGACCAAATCGCCTCTCTTGGCTTGCCGACGGCGAAGGAGCTGATCTGTCCGACTACAGAGCAGCGATGACTTCGTCCAACGCCGGCCAAAATGGCCTGGCGCCCCTTCCGACCACGCCGCCGCCCAAGCACAAGTCGACGACACCAGCCCGAACTGACCACCCCGACGACAACGACAACAACAATCACATCGCCAAGAACGCTGCCGACCAGCAGCAATCATCGCGCGCCGACGCACACACAACCGCATATCAACCTATTGAAGACGCGTCGACCAAACACCAGACCACCTCTGGAGCCGTCGATACATTCATGGCCGACGCCGACGCCGGCAGCGCTCCACCCGCGACAATGTCGCAGCCGGCTTCAGCCGTGCATGTTGACGCCGACCCTTTCGCCTCGTCCTTCCCACACACCCCGATGCCGAACATGGACCACGCCTACATGATGATGGCTCTGGCGCATATGGCTGGCAACCAAATGTCCAATCAAATATCACCGCCTCCGACCGTCACGCCAGCCCAGGTCACCCTCCCGAGCACCATGGGCAACGGCAACGATCCGCTCGTCGCAAGCACACATAACCTCGCCGCGGCAACACAAGGCCTCGAATCCTTTGCGCGTATAGAATTCGCCGACAGTGTCTTCCAGATGACCACGTACGCCGTCATTATCGGTCGCGACCAGAAGGCTCTGAACCAGGCGCGGAGAGACCAGAAGCGCGATGATGCCCACCGCAAGAAGGCGGAGGAATATGAACGCGAGGGTCTTCCGCCTCCTTCCCCTGTCAGACACGGTCCGGGAAAGTTCAGCAAGTCCTATGTCAGTGAAGAGGGAGGCATGCTGGGACCCGAGTCCGACAGTGAAGGAGAGGGGCGGCCGGCCAAGCGCCGCAAGACGACCAGCACCGGATCATCGCAGAAGCAGGAAGAGGACGAGTCACAGGAAAAGCTCATCTCAAATCGGCAGTATGTCTCGCACACGCCGGGTGCTGCAGCCGTGGATCTCGCCTCATTACGGCCCTCTCCCCACCACGTTCCTTTTGTCGGCATCCATTCGCCCGGACCTGATATCGCCAGCAAGACCAAGGCTATTTCAAGAGAGCACTTGAAGATCCAGTTCAATAAGCGAGAAGGGGTCTTTGAGGCTATTCCACTCCACAAGAATGGATTCTTCATCGACGAAGTGCACCACAAGGAAGGTGTCGCCGTGCTTCGGAGTGGTGATCACCTGCAAATCAAGGACGTTGATTTCCGCTTCGTGATCAACGGTGTTCCCGAAGGCCGGACAGGTGCCGAGGAATATGCAGAAGAGGAGGAGAAACTCAAGAAGAAGGCGACGGGTGGAAAGGAGATGAGCTTCGAGTTTGAAGCCTCACATGGCAATGGGCTCGACGACACAAGCGACTCTTCCCTTAGCTCACCAGCGCCATCAGATGTAGAAATGTCTGATGTCGAACTAGAAGAGGAGGAAGAAGTGGAAGCTGAAAGTAGCTCCAAGGCCGAGGCCGAGGCGGAAGCAAAGGCAGAAGCAGCAGCCGCCGCAGAAGAGGCAGCCGCAGAAGCAGCAGCCGACGCTGCAGAAGCAGCACAAATACAAGCGGAGGCCGACGATGAGGCCGATGCTGAAGCTGATGCCGACGTCGATATCGACGCCGATGCTGACGCCGATGCTGACGCCGATGCTGACGCCGATGCTGACGCTGAGGGAGAGATGTCGCTGGATTATGGAGAGGAAGCAGACGATATCCAACCTACTACAGAGGTCAAGGCAGAGGACCAAGAGATGGTGCATCTTTTAATGGGAGGCGCTCCATTGGGCTATCTGAACAAGAAGAGAGGGCCCGGCAGACCACCAAAGAACGGAATCATGTCCAAGCGAGAGCAGCGGCTGCTTAAGAAGGCCCAGCAGGAGATGGCCAAGAAGACGATACCACAGCCTCCTCCCGGAGAGCCCCCCATCAAGCGGAAAGTCGGCCGCCCTAGGAAACATCCGCTACCAGATGAAGGGGGGGATCGACCAGAGAAGCGCAAGTACAAGCCTCGGAAACCAAAGGGCGAAGACGGTGCCGAAGGATCAGATGCCGAAAGACGCGCTAGAGAGAAGAAGGAGAAGAAGGCTCGACCCAAGTCGCCCCCTCTCGAACTCAAGATCGAGGACTACACGGAGGAGCAGCTGCAGAAGCCGAACAAGAACTACGGAGTGCTCATCGACGAGACTCTCACTGCGGCAGGGCCTGACGGGCTCACCCTCAAACAGATTTACAAGCGAATTACTCAAAGATACCCGTGGTTCTACTTCCACACGGAGACAAAGGGCTGGGAATCCAGTGTACGACATAACCTTATCGGGAACGAAGCATTCAAGAAGGACGATACCACAGGCTTGTGGTCCAGGGTGCCCGGTGTCGAACTCGATGCTGGCAAGAAGCGCAAGGCTACGTCGCCAGACCGTTCTATGAGTGCGGGCTATGGTCACTACAACCACCCAATGTACACGCAGTACGCTCAGCAGCAGCAGAGTCATATGCCTCCTGGCTACCAGCATCTGCCTCATAATTACCACGCGCAAGCCTATGCCGGGCAGCAGCAAGCGCAGACAGCAGCCAGGACGCCACAATACTCTCCCCCCGGTGTGACGCCGAACCCTGGCCAGCCCGCACCGCCAGTGACCTCTCAACCAGTGGCGCCAGTGACGCTCCCTGGATACGGGGCCGCTGCTGCCATCGCACGGCCTCAAGGTGTCGCAGGGCAGCCTTCTACATACAGCTCGCCGTACGCTTCAAGGCCACCCCCAACCCATCCCGCCGTCAAGACCGAAGACGGCGCCGCCGCAACCTCAGCACCGCCCATCACACAACCTGCCCCAGCCGCCATCCCTGGAGCGCAACCAGCGCAACCACCCCCACCACAGATACCCGCTGCTGCCCCGCCGCAGCAAGCTCGACCTACGCCTACACCACCAGCGCAAGCCGAACCACGTCCCGTCATTCAGCCCAGGCTTCTCTCAGCTGTTAATGGCCTCAAGAACGGTCTCATTGAGAACCTGAAGAAAGCCAAGAATCCCAAAGCAGAGGCCATTGTCATGTCTGCCCTCAACCGTTGTCTGGGACTCAAAAGTGCCGCCACAGAGAATCAAACAATGGAGGATATCTGTATGAAGGGAATACAGAAACTCCTAGACGGGTTCTCTACCCGAAGCAACACTCCCGGATCAGGGGGCACGCCCACGCCCACTGGGCCGACCAATGTCTTTGATTCCAAAGTCTTCAATTCCCTACTAGGGTTCAAGAACGTTTCATCGAATGCGCTCAAGAGCAGAATCGGCGAGGCCAAGGCCGAAGCAGTCACCTTATCCGCCATTGATCGAGTATTGGGCTTGGCAGAGGCGAGCATCGTACCCCCGCCTGCGGAGGCCAGCGCCTCAGGGTCGCCCCCAGCGGGCTTTGACGGGATCGAGTCGCACTTGATGAACTCGGTGAAGCAACTCCTGTTGGGCCTCAACCAGAAGTTACACGGAACATAGAGAGAGAGGAGCCAAGATGCAGGACATATATGTAGGGTCGAGAGGAAATGGAAGGAAGGAAAGAAATAAGCGTTCAATAAGCGTTACCAATGTTCGGCGTTTCTGTGTCGGCGAACTCGGCCCTTCCTCTAGGAGAGGATGGATTGGTTGAGATCTTCAAAAGGATATGATCATGAATCAGCGAAAACCTGCGTCTACTCATAGCATAGCTACGTGTTGTCGTTTAGCACCCAAGAATACACAAAAATCGTTTACAAATTACATTGGCGGCCGCCGCTGGTACCATGCGCACAAATGAGACGCATCGGGTACCATCTCGACCATATAGACTTGGATGTAGGTTTTGAAGATAGTATGTAATAGTTCAAAAGCGATGCTCATCTCGTACCTTTGGGTTCCCCCGTTCCCCATTATCTCACAACTCAGTTGACTAGATCTGTCACCTCTCCATATACACAACCTTACCATTAACATTCATTAACCTCTCCGACTAGGAAGCTCTACAGGGGAAGCACCCGGCAACTCAACCGGAGCTGTGGGATCTCTTCGAGGCTCTGATCCATATACTTCAGACGGACCCCACCCGGCGTACATTTTATTCTGTCCGGCACCGCCGTATTCTTGTGTGTCCGTCCGAACCGCTTCGCTCTGTTCATAGTTAGGAGGCTTCGACGACGACCGGCCCCACGACCTGAAGCGGCTTCCTCTCTTCTCACGAGGTTCTTCCGCTTCTGCACGCTTGTTACGCCGCATTATGTAGATTGCGACGACGATCGTGACGCAGATGATTGCGACGCCGCCCACGACGCCGCCGATGATGGGTCCTGTGTTGCTTGATCCCGAGGACGAGGTGGCTCCGTCTGTTGGGGAGGTTGTTTGGCTTGCTGGGGAAGTGGTTTGCGTTGCGGAAGAAGAAACGCTTGAGGACGGGGCAGAAGTACGGAATGATGTTGACGAGGAAGTTGACGCAGATGATTGTGTTGTGGTGGTGGCGGCGTCAGTCGGGGTGATGATTACCGTAGTCGCGACAATAGTTGAGGGTGCTGAGGGTGTGACGATGGGTTCCTTGAGCAACGTTTCTACTGTCGCTGTGTTGCCGCACGCAATGTAGGAGAAGCCTCCTTCGAATCCTCCTTCGAGAAGAACGGTGGAGCAGAATCTATCTGTTGCACTATGGGTTTTGTATACATCTGTGAGTCTTCGTTCCTTTATTTTCGTTCCGTTCGTGTCTTACAAAACACAGAGAGAGGGAAACTCACCAAGTGAAAGTCGTCAGGCCTGCGATGCCCGTCTTGCCGCAGCCGGACTTGCAGTTTTGCGAGTCGACGCAGTTGCCGGCCAGCCCGCAATCTTTGGCAGAGATGACGGTCGTGGGACAGAAGCCCCAAAGCCCGCGGTCGATATCAAGGCGACAGCCGAAGCCCGGGTCTGCTGTCCTCGACTTTGTCGGGTCGCCGTTGTAGTATCCACACACGGAGGTTACGGAGGTGGCTTGTCGTCTTTCAAGGTCGTCGTTCAAGATGGTTGTGCCGTTTCGCGAAGGAGCCTTTGTTGGTTTTGGTGGTGCAAGGGGCGCATAGCGGAGGTTGATTGCTGAGACGCGACCCAGTCCTAGAGCAAATAGGAGGAGAAAGAGAAAGAGAGCTCGAGGCATGATGGGGTGAGTTGTACTGAGATGTCCCACGTTTCTTGACAGCGAAGTATAGTTGAACACAGCAGGACTTCTCTTGTTTGCAGTTCTTGGTGGATTATCAGTATCGCCACGTCTCGCCTGCCTCTTTCTCGTCTCTTTTCCAGGCGAAGCTGAAGACGTAGGTAGAAGGGCTCTACTAGTGTTCTAGAGTGAACTGAGGTGTTGCTATAACAACATGAGAAGGATTTGGTGTGACTAAAGATTATCGTAAGGGTGAGCGAGCGAGGGCTCGTAAGGAACAAGAGTTATCGTATAGTCGTACAACGAAGCAAAGATCAACGGTTTGCAGAACGAGGAAGAGACATCTAGCATGCTAAGCAGAGAAAGGGGGGCGAAAAAGGCAGGCCACTGGACTAAGTATGCAGCAAGCCGCCCAGCTGAAGTGAAGAGATCCAGCCTTCTCATGTTCTCAACCCAAGGCGATGGACAGCGCACTCCGGGTACCGTACTCGATGCGAGACTCGCCGGCCAATGTTGTTGTGGCATTTCTTCACCACAGCCATGGACTCTATTCGAGGATTGGGCTGGCCCTGCAAACAGGCGAGGGATTCAAAATGAGGTTATTGTGAACTTTTGCCCTGCTCCTGACCCGACAGTTTGGTAACACCCTGGTTATCTCATTTCCTTTCGACGAATCACCGTGAAGTTATCAAGTCCTGGGCGCCTTCTAATACCACCCAGGGCCCCGTGGTTCGTGACGAGGCAACTTCCTGCGGCAGCGGTGAGCTGACCGGGTGAAAGAGGGAACGACACAATGGGTGGTTTATGCGCCAGCCTCGAGGTGAAACTGGGCCCAGGAAGATGGGCAACAATGTTGGAACCAACATGGCAGAACCAACACGACGAAGACCAGAAAAAAGGAAGGGAAACGGCCTTGGTTGCGGGTCCGTCATGGTGCAGCGAACCAACCAGGCCGCGACTGCGAATCGCGCGGTTAAGCGCCCAGCGAAAGCCCTCGGCTCCTTGCTCCTGACTTCGTCTCCGGGGGGCGGGACGATGTGCTCAGGATCTCTCTGTCACCTGTGCCTCTCTCCACCCCCGACCAACGGACTACACGGATGTCGACCGTTCAACAGAGCGGGCAGGCGGGCGCGCGTATGTATACCTTACCTAGGATAATTAGTGGTCCGCAATGGCATTGGCAAAAGAGGACGAACAATGGCTCTTTCGCTTCCAACATCCACTTGAGCTGTGTTGGTCGCCCCCAAAGAAAGCGACCCCCGGTCACACTCCTCGATCGGAAGAGGCGCGTTTGCCTGTACATCCCATTCTGTCATACTCGAGGCTGATTTCACTTCCTCCTTCCTTTTTCTTTTTTTCTGGTCATTTCCTTCCTCACTCTTCCCAACCTCTGGCCCCTTTTTTGGTACCACGATGGTAATGCTCGATCCTTCATGAGCAAACTATGGCGAAAAGGATACACAGTACTATCGCACAGGCAGGCGTAGTGTGCCTTTTACTCATCAGCTTGCTCGTCGCATATGATCTTTTCTCGGGGCGCGAATACTTCGACATCGCGTACAAGCCATTCCGTACGCTTCTCCCCATCATACAACTTACCTTGCGCTGTCGTCGTCAAACCTGACGTCGAAAGAAGGATCAATTGAACTGACACTTGACTCAGGAAAGCCAAACCCGACCGAAGAAGCGCACGGAGCAGCTCCACACGATGGAGAAAATCAGACGAACACCGCCGTAACATCGCCGGCGATCGCGCCGTCGCAGACGCCGCCACCCCCGATTTCTACCCCGACACCGACGCCACCGCCGGTACCATCCTCAGACGTTGGCGGCGGCGCCAGCTCCACAGTGCCGGACGCCAACCCGGAGCACCTCAAAAACGCACCGCTCTACATCACCTCGATCCTCGACCCAGACGACAAATCTCTACCCAGGCTAGACTGCCCCCGTCCCGACATCTCACGCTACCAGTACCTCAAACCCAGTACCACGCTCAAGAACCCCAAGTTCTTCATCGCTCTCAACATCCGCGAGAAGGCAGACCTCCTTCCGCGACTCCTAGGCTCCATCGTCGAAGCCCTCCACTTCCTGGGCCCGGAGAACTGCGTCCTCTCGATAGTGGAGGGCAACTCGGGCGACGGCACCTATGAGATCCTCCACCTCCTCCGTCCGGAAATCGAGAAGCTCGGTACCGAGTACCACTTCTCCCGCAGCGACCTCGACCCCGGCGCAGGAGACCGCATCCCCAAACTCGCCGAGCTGCGCAATATGGCCCTCGCGCCCCTCGTCTCCGGCGGTCCCAGCAAGTACGCCGCTGATGCCGTGGTTCTCTTCCTCAACGACGTGGCCATTTGCCTCGAAGACATCCTCGAGCTCGCCCACCAACGCCTTTACCTGGGCGCCGACATGACGTGCGGCTTCGACTGGACCTACGTCGGCGCTGACCCGACCTTTTACGACGTGTGGATCAGTCGCACCATCGCGGGGGACTCCTTTTTCGAGATCCCCGCCGACGGCAACTGGAACTCTGCGTGGAACATTTTCTGGAACGAGGATACCTCGCGCCGGCGGTTCTTTGACCACAAGCCGCTGCAGGTGTTCTCGTGCTGGAACGGGGCCGTGGCGATGACGGCGAGGCCGCTGCTGGACCGGCTTGTTCGTTTTAGAGCGCCGAGCCCGGGTGAGTGTTTCCAGGGCGAGCCGCAGCTGTTCTGCAAGGATCTGTGGAACGCCGGGTTCGGCAAGATTGCAGTGGTGCCGAGCGTCAATTTGGAGTACAGTGATGAGGCGGGGAGAAAGATTAAGGCGGCCAAGGGGTATACTAGTCAATGGGTGGGAGGAGAGGACGAGGTGCAAGATTTCAGGGTGGATTGGAAGGCTGATCCGCCTGAGAAGGTTAAGTGTATGGCGAGTTATGATAAGCAGACGTGGGAGCCGTGGAATCAGGCGCTGGAGTAATGGGAATAATGTGGCCATGATTGTAAACCCAATATGAAGACCAAGTTTTGTGTTATGGATGTGCGGTGCCTTCATTTCTATCTGCGCTGCTCTATTTGCCAAATCTTCCTCTCCTGAATCCCTTCAAAGAAATATCACATGTTCTCGTCTATTTGTCGCCATCGTTGCTCATGATTGAACGTTCCTTGAAACCAATGCCTCCCAAACAATCAAAAAATCAGTCCAAATCTAATCTTCCACTTCCTACTCAAACTTTCGAAGTCTAGCCCACGCTTCATACACCGCCAACTCGGCCTTGGCCTTTGCGAGTTCATACTCGAGGCTCTCTCGATCCTCCATCTCGCTCGGGTAAGGGTAAGGTAAACCAGCTTTGCCGTTGGGCTCCCACTTGACCGATGGAGCCCGGGCGGCGCCTCTGGTTCGGCTGCGGACTGGTTCGGGTTCAGGAAGCGTCTCCTCCTCTTCAGAGTCTTCTTCGGAATCCTCTTCGAGATGAATAGCAGTGGATGGTGTCGAGCCCCTCGGCGCTCGAGCGGCTTGTCTCGCTGCGACCGGAGGCGGCGCCGCACTGCGCCGTGATGATCTTGTAGTTGCGGCCGCCTGCCTCTCCTCCCTCTTATTGGCAACAGGAGTAGAAGGTGGCGTGATCGTAGTCGTGGTCGTGGTAGTAGTCGTAGTCGTGCGCTGCGGCCTGACAGGAACCTTGACCTCCGTCTCGTCGCCGACTTGAAGGTACAACCTGACTCGAGCTTCCCACTGGGTGGCCTTCTCGACGGTCTGGGACTGGTGAGATCTTTTACACAAGGCAAGATTGGCGAGTCGCTGGAGGTGAGCGGAGGCAGATGTCAAATTGTTACTGTTTATGATGTCTAGCATCACAAACGGCATCTCGGATCGTGAGGCCTGGCTGACTGCGTTGCCGCAGGTTGACTTTGTGGCAGAGTGGCCTTGGCAGTTGAAGCAGGTTTTGAAGTTGATGCCGAGGCAGGTTTGGAGCTCGGTTGTGCTTTTCAGCCATTTGGTCTTGGTGATGACGACCATGGTTGCTTGTAAAATGAGGTGGGAAGATACGAGGATGAGGTAGAAATGATACTAGTCCCTGGTAACTAGCGACGGGATATGAACAGAAGCTGATGTACCTCGTCAAAATGGGTTCCGACTCTCTGAAATATACGTCGCACCGTCCGTTTGCACGGAGGCCACGGCAGACTAGGGACAGCCCTGGCGGTCGTTAGAAGTCACTGGAATGATTCGAAAGGCCAACAAGTTTTGGTCTGAATTCTGCGCCTCAGCAGCTACTGGAACATTTTTCTACAGTACGGTGCATATCTGCAACGGCGGTGAGGTGGCTGCGATAAAGAACATGGGCGTATAGACCCTACCACTCATACCGTTGTCCGAGATATCACACGGCTTCAGTCTCGGCTTGTCTTTCTTTTCTTCAGTGTTGACGTCGATGTAACCCCTTTCTAATCCGAACTCAGGACCTGAAGAGCGAGCATAGTGTTCATTGGACGATTTCGGAGTCCTGGCATACGCACATAGCCGCATGTGCTTTGCGCTGTTGGTTTCTAAAAATCTTCAGCGAACGCGTTCGATACCTGCTGATGCAGATGCGCTTGCTAAACAACAGACAACCAGGAAGACAGTTGCAGGCTTTCATGCCAACACAGAGTCAAGCTCAGAACGTCTGATACATTTTAGCCCCAAGTAGTGGGGGGGTGCGATTTGCGAGTGAAAGAGAGGAACAGGTAGATGAGGTTATTCCATCCGACGAGATGAATGGAAATGAACCTCCTAGGAGTTCCACAGCCAAGGGGTTCAGAGAGCTCGTAATGAAACTCTCTTGAATATGTCAAGATGCTGCATCTCGGCAGACTACCTTGTTTTGGCAGTTAACGAGGAAACGGTGGCACATGGGTTAGGGACCCAACGCTCACCGACAGACTTGAAAACTTATTTTTCTTTGGCTTAGGGTGATATGGCTGAAATTAATGGAAGCAAGGCTGTGTTTATCACATAATGAGTTCCACAAGCTGGAAAGGATGAAACGCGCACGCTGACAAAATATATGTTGGAATCGAAGTGGCTCCTTTGGACTTACATCGCAACATCTGTTTTGTGTAAGGCAGAACAGCAAAGACTTTTAAGTATGACTGGTATCTGCCATATGCTCCGGTTTATTCAAGGGTGGCTCATGCAGCTATGCACTGTTCGTGCGGACCGGGATACTGCACCATCTAGTAGGTCCAACATGCGCAAACGCGTGACGCCAGGTGGTGAGGACCAGTTTCGCAGCCTCTTCCCCTAATGGCTGGAAGATTTCCTCACGCATGAGTTCCTATAGCCTACGGAAATCACGGAAATGCCTCTTCTGTACGTTTGAACGGAAAAGGCTGGATGGTTTAGTGACTTGGAAAGTTTACTACAGGGGGAGGAGCTTGTTCGAGAAGAGAACAATGATTGCAGTCGGGAGTAGTTTTTTGTTCCATTCTAGGCTGAAGAGTAAGTAAGGTATTTGAAAGGAGGGGGGAAAAGATTTATCACTAGGGAATCGAACAAAGAGCGTCGGTGTGGGGTGGCCGAAGGACTGAAATCCGCTCTCTGGCTATCCTCCATATCCCACTCGACCACCTAACCCGTTACGCCTTTAATGACAGGAAGGAAGGAGGAGAGACTCAAGTACCCTCTTCCGCATCCCCGGCTAGACGGTGCATCGTATCAACAGCACCTGACTTACACGATTGGTGACCCATGCTTTTGGTGCCCCTATTGTTCCAAGGTTCGCACATGAAGAACGAAATAATCAGTGTATCGTGATCTTGGAGCTAGTGACAGCTTCGGTGAGGTACGCAAGGTCTGCCTCCTTGACTTCTGACAAGAAGCAAGTCGGGCATTCGTATACCACCGAGGGCCGCTCAAATTGAAAGCAAGTGTAGTTAAGCTGGTTTGCTTTGCTGACTCACCTTTGATCAACATATTTATGCATCGTGGAGGAAACAAGCGTTTGCGCCGATTGCAGATCATCGGATCGTAATGCCGACGGAGTAGGTAAGCCCGGACTTGACGGACTTAACTTTGGACATTTGGCCACCGACATCACATCATCTAATCCCTCAATCCTGCACCTATCGTATTACTCTTGGAACGTCTGTTTCGAAATAATCAACACACGTTGACTGGGCAGAATCAAACATCATGGACTTCGATTCCGAGACACAGGCAACCTCGTCCCAGCGCATGTACACCGCGCGAGCAGACAACTATGAGAACTCATTCCATCCCGAATGGACCAAGCGATTCATGGCCGTCGCTGACGTACAACCCGGAGAACACATCTTGATCCTGGCTTGTGGCACTGGCCTAGAGGTCTTCACCGCTGCCGACCAGGTGGGCGCAACGGGCGAGATCGTCGGCCTCGACGTCACCGAAGCCATGCTCAACAAAGCACGAGAGAAGCAAGAGCGCCTCAAGCCCAGTGCAAACATTCGGCTGTTCCTTCACGATGCCACGAAATTGGAGACGTTGCCGGAGCTCGAGGGTCAGAGTTTCGATGCCATTTTGTGCTCCAGTGCCTTTGTTCTCTTTGAGGATCCAGACGATGTCGTTGCGAAGTGGCGCAACTTCCTCAAGCCGGGAGGCAGGGTGGTCATCGACATTACGCACGAGGACAACTTCAAGATCGGCCTCATTCTCGAGAAGGCGGCCAAGCGCCTGCGGTCGAGATTTCCCAGCAACAGGTCCTGGATCACGGACAAGAACTCCTTCACAAAGATTCTCGAGAGTGCTGGGTACGTGGTGGATAGGATCGAGCTAATGCACAATATCTCTGGTCAAGGCAACAAATCTTATGGCGTGGATCAGATTGACGAGCAGTTTGAGCATGTCACCAGCACGACGTTGGTCACCAGTCTTCCGACGGAGGAGTTCAGGGACCAGGCTAGGGCTCTATTTCACGAGGAATGGGAAAAGGCTGCCGTTGATGGCCAAGTCACCAACGTGGATGCTCTTTATATCTATGTAGCTCGGAGAACCTAGGCACGATCATCTAATAAGGATATCCTCCCTCACGCGTCTAACTCTACAATTTCGCTCTACCACTGCCCTTCAGATTCGGCTTCACCGGGACCTTTGGGTGGTCGCCCTCTAATGCCAGTCCAGTGACTTTCTCTAGTTCTTCCACGGCCTCGTAGGCCCGTCCCAGATGAACCTTGACAGTGTTGAATCCTTGTTTCTTAGCCTCCTTTAGGTTCTCGCCAATGTCGTCCAGGAACACGATATCCTGTGGCTTGATACCCTCGCTCCACTTGAGGGCCTGACCTCTTTCAGAGCTCGCATTTTGGGCGGCATACTCATTCAGCCTTTCCAGCGCGAGTTGGTACATCCTCGGATCCGGCTTCCTCAAACCAGCGTGTGCCGAAGAGACAAACACGTCGAATAAGCTGCGAACGGGGTCGTCCATGAAGTCCTTCCTGTGCAGCTTGTGGCCCTCGGGGAAGATGACGGTGTTGCTCAGCGCGGCGAGGATATACTTCCCACTGGCCTTGAGCTTCTTCAGTGCCGGGTACATCCACGGGTCCGGGGGAATTGAATTGGTCATCATGGTGTTGAAGAGGTACTTGGCGTCGACGGTAGGTAAGGGCGGCGTCTCCTTGGGGAGAGATGGGTTCTTTGCTTTTTGAGCGGCGTAGAATGCCTCCCAGCGGCCTTGATCGTGAAGGTCCTTGGTGAAGCCCTCGAAGAAGGCCTGGTCCATAGGTATTGAGCCCGTCTCAAGGCGGTGCCAGAAGCCGGTGGGACTCGTCTTTGAGATGGAGTAGTTTACCCATCCTGGCGGGATACCGAGACTGAGCTCGTAGTCTAGGATGGATTGGAATGGTGATACGACCTTGTCAAGTCAGTATAATGACCGGCATTTTGTTGTGATGGAGCACGCAAGATGTAGAACTATACGCTGACGGGTTGGAGGCGCATTGGGTAGCGAACATTGGAATAAGTCAAAGGGAGCTGCTTACACAAACACCACCAATGTCGAACAAAAGCACCTTGGGCTGCTTGGAGTCTGTCATATCGTCCACGGCCTCGAGAACGTGGTCAATCAAAAAATTATCGGACTCTTCCAAGGACTGCATGGCTCCGAGAAACGGGCAGATCTACAATATTCAAAGGTACTTGTAGTAAACCCAGCGTTGAAAGTCGTGGAGACCAGCAATGATCGAAACCTGGGGAAAGCCCCCACCTCGGTGCGGATTGTGCCAGTGGACCTCGGCCCAGAGCATTGACAGAGTTGAGAGGGAATCCGTCAATCGGTCACTCAAGATGAGGTAAGCAAGAGCTTGGCTTGTATGCACAGACCATCTCGTCCCCGGCCAAAGTTCAATCTCCACGTGACTCGTCACCGACCTGTTTTGGGAGTGACAATCGAGAGGGAAGGGTGGGGCCACACAATCTAGGGCTGCCCCAAAACCCACAGAGGAATATTATCACGAAGTTGCGCCTTGGAACTTTTTTCTCTTGACAAACCCCTTCGACAACCACCCACATCGACAAATTTGAGCCGACCGCCCGCTCATATACCGTCAAGATGGTAAGTTGATACATCACCATCAGCTCGTCAACAGCCTGAAAAATGGCCGAATGACAACTTGCGACACCAAAACTCTTCTTTTAGCCAGCAATGGCAAAACAAAAAAAAAGAAATGGCCCCCAGTAGCAGACAGAAATGTCTCTTGGGATTGAGAGTCAACGCAAGATGCTTCGGGTCAACAGGCCATATCTGAAGCGCAAATTGCTGACTCGGTATCTTTTCGCACACAGCCTTTCCACAAGTTGGTGAAGAACAGCGCGTACTACAGGTAAGTCCCAATCGCACTTTTGAATTTCGATCCTGGTTTTTCTTTTCGTGATCCAGAGTTCGCTGACCATCATTCCCACTCCAGTCGCTTCCAGACCAAGTACAAGCGTAGAAGATCCGGAAAGACCGACTACTATGCCCGCAAGCGCCTGATCACCCAGGCCAAGAACAAGTACGGTGCCCCCAAGTACCGTCTTGTGGTCCGCTTCACCAACCGGGACATCATCATGCAAATCGTCACCTCGGAGCTCACCGGCGACAAGGTCTTCGTCGCCGCCTACGCCCACGAGCTCCCCGCCTACGGCATCACCCACGGTCTCACCAACTGGGCCGCCGCCTACGCAACCGGTCTCCTGATCGCCCGCCGCGCCCTCTCCAAGCTCGGCCTCGACAAGACCTTCACCGGTGTCGAGGAGGCCGACGGTGAGTTCACCCTCACCGAGGCCGCCGAGACCGACGACGGCGAGCGCCGCCCCTTCAAGGCCAACCTCGACGTCGGTCTCCACCGCACCTCCACCGGTGCCCGTGTCTTTGGCGCCATGAAGGGTGCCTCTGACGGTGGTATCCTCGTCCCCCACTCCGAGAAGCGTTTCCCCGGTTACGACATGGAGTCCAAGGAGCTCGACGCCGAGACCCTCAAGAACTACATCTTCGGCCAGCACGTCGCCGAGTACATGGAGACCCTCGCCGACGACGACGAGGAGCGCTACAAGTCCCAGTTCCAGCAGTACATTGACGACGACGTCGAGGCCGACGGTCTCGAGGAGCTCTACACCGAGGCCCACGCCGCCATCCGCGAGGACCCCTGGAAGAAGGAGGAGTCCGAGAACAAGAAGACCAAGGAGGAGTGGAAGGCCGAGTCCAAGAAGTACAAGACCAAGCGCCTCACAAAGGAGGAGAAGGAGCAGAAGGTCAAGGAGCGCATCGCTGCGTACCGTGCCGAGTAAATTTTTCCTCTTTCTGTACTAAGCAAAAGCGGTTTAATTCATTCGTGATGGGGGGTTTGGCATCTGGGCAGGCATTTGACGTTATGGCATGACACTTTCTTCGGGCGTTAATCAAGGCAAACAAAATCCGGAAGGAGGATTATGATGGTCACGGGAGAAGGAAAAAAACTCCTAAAGAATTCAATAAGAATATCCCAAATGCCAGACGTCAAAAGTTGTTGACCATCCACTGAATGTGGTACGAATGAAGGAACGTGAGACGTGACAGTACCACAGTACCTTGGCCATCCTCGACTAAGCGTAGCTAACCGTCTCTGCAATCATCAATCACGGTGATGCAGGTCTACCTCCTGTCAAACGAAACATGCGTGGTAGACGGCGCTACTGTAACGCGGTGCCGCACCGTCTCGCGTCTCGGCGGCACGATGGAAATGCTTATTCGCTCGCTAGTCGGACTCGATGCGCTCCGTGACAGGCGATGGACCTGCCGGCCGCAAGATGACGCAGACTGGCAGACGTGTGTGGTGGGTGGAGGGTGGTGAGGCAAAAAGAAAAAAAAAAGGAGGGCATGAGACCCCGCATAGGAGCACCAGTGATATCAGATCATGCCAGACGGCATTGGGGAAAAGTGACGATCTCTTACGAGAATCAAGAGATGATTGCATCTGCAGATTGCTGGACCTGCGGAGGGTTTCGGGATGGCGTAAGACAATATAGCTCCATACACCTGGCGATGATGTCGGTACGGGTACAGGGTATACTGAGAGATGTTGAATCTGAGATGGTTATAGCCTCCTCGCTTTTATTTCCCCTTGACTAGGTAAGTATGCAGCTAGGTACTGCGAGGTAGAGATGGGTCGATTCCCGTTTGGTCCCACAAAGCGTCCGAAAACTTTGTATGGCGACATACTGTATAGGTAAAATTGAGGAGACACCATGAGATCCAACTTCGATAATTAACAAGGTATTTGAGAGGAGACGCTGCAGGTGCGCGTCAATTCGAGGAAGTCGACGTGGGTTCAGGAGCCGTCGATGAGAGACATGAGCCGAGAGTCGCATTTCATCACGTCGCGCGCGGGAATTACGGGATGAACGGAGGGCATAGCGGCGAGATGGTAGGGTCGCGAAAGGCGAAAATCCCAGCCAGAGTCCCAGGCCCGAAGCACATCATCTCATCCGGTGAAAAAAGGAATGGTATGCTGGGGAACGCGGCACAATGCTGCAGAAGGAGACGAGAGCCAACAATCGTGCTGGTTGCCGCCGCGCAGGGTTCCATTCATGAAGTGGGTGAGTGAGAGTCCCTGGTATTGTAGCGGTGTCCGTTTGTCTGCCCCTTTTAGACGAGGGGACACCGCTGAATGTTAAGCAGGGGAGTACCCCAACGGCAGCTCCGTTGAGTGAGGGCCCCGTGATCTCGCGATGCTCATGGGGCGGGCGGTCAGCCGGTCACTTCTTGGTGGACAGTGGTCCGTCTTGTGTAATTATGCCCGCCGACTCGTGGTCCATTTTCTTCCGAATTAATGCAAGATGAAAGGACAATCTGGACCCTGAATAGATACCGCCGTACGCGGTAGTGTACAATGAGGCAAGGCTCCAAAATGTGAAGGTTACGGGCTGCAACAGGCAAGTGTGAACTTTGTCTTACCTGTCCACGGGCGTTTGGCGGCTTGCCTTGACGGCTTGCAGGCTGTTTGAGCGAGTCCAGTCACTCTGCTCCGTAGGTAGTGTAGAGCCCAGTGTGTCTAAAATGTCAATGACTTGGCAGGCCCGCCACCCCAATGGTGAGCTGTGTGGTCAGTCCAGTGCTTGAGAGGCGCGCGATTAATAAGAGCCCGCCCCATCTGCGTCCAGCCCACGTACTCCTGTGACTCTGCAGTAGTGTGCGGTTCTAGTGGCAGGTTGCAGAAAGATGCAGGGCTGTTCGCCCGCTTGCGAATGGAGAGTGAAGAAGGCTGTGTGTGTGTGTGTGTGTGTGTGGTGTCACTGTCGCCGTGTGGTGGATGCCAGGCCATTGGCGCCGAATTCGAGGGAAATCAGCTGGGGCAAGTTAGCAACACATAGAGGGGGGGGGAGACGAGTCTCAAGAGACTGACTGACGGAGAGTCTGTGAGAGTTCCAGGTCGCTCTCTCGCTTTCCTGACGTTCATGATCCCCGCTGATGAGTGGAGAGGGCCGGCAGTGGCATCCAACCAGAGCAGAGTTGAAGCAATCCACTGGCCATCTGCTGACTGTAGGGCCGCGGAGGTCCCCTACAAGTACGGAGTACATGGGTCCTGGAGCCAAGCTATTGCGTACGGAGTATGTGCTATCCACGGAGCACGAATACCGCGATACCGGTGCCTCTGGCAGCTGGCCGTGTCAGGTTGCTGCTGTGTGCGGTGAGGAGGCACGGACAGGCGCAGTATCCGTACGCAGTAACAGTCAAGTGAACGTGTGTGATGTTTCCGCGACAGATGTCCTATCTCAACCCAGCTGCCGTGCTCCTCGTCTCAACATGGCGGGCCGAGGTTATTACCCGGGGATCTGATCTCCAAAGTCCGCAGTGCCCACGAAAGGGTAGTTTGTGCCATGGGGTCGGGATGGAGCGAGCCGGGAAGACGGGAATACTAAGGCACGCAAAAAGTCTGGGAAGATTGGCGGTTGGGAGCACAAATTTCAAAATGGCAGGTCGGTAATTACTGCATTGAAAAACAAGTCCCGGGGAAGCTTGCGGCATAAGATGTCCGTCCGTCTGAAGGTTGTTGACGCGAGACTTCCCATCGGGCCAGGATGCTTGAGGACGGCAGGTGAGGGACGGTATTTGTCCCCAGGGATGGTTGGATTTGTGTTTAGATGCCGTTAAAGCCTCTTCTTCTCTCTCTTTGCGTGGGTCTATATTGCTAACTGCGAAGGGAGTTCAGGGCGGGAAATGATAGCATCTTGTTCCATTGGTGATGAACAAGTGGTGACAAGTTGACAACAGTCAGCAGTGGCGGAGGAAAGCACGACATTGATGACTTCCATTGCCCGTGTATTTGGGTACTTTACTGCGTACAAAGTATGTATCCGTTAGGTGCTTAGGTACCTACCTCGGGCCAGCCAGCCAAGACCGGGTGGCCCCCCGGGTGAAGTGATGTCTCCAAAATCCAACCAGCCTGGGCCATGGCGCCGCTCATCTCCTGCCAATGACGAGATGCGTCGCCTCTAAAAAGGTTAATGAACCCCCCCGCTAAAGCTGCCACGTCCGGCCTTTCCTTCGAGGAACCTTACGGCAAGGTACGGACTCTATCTTACCGATGGAACCTGGAAGTAGGTAGCTTTATGGCTGAGGTGCTTCCTAATTCTCTGTCAGTGCTAACTTGAATACCTGCCGTCCCCTCTCCTCCTTCCCTCCCCTCCCCATCCGGACCCGGACCCTGACGTGAGGTATCCGAACCTGCGCGAGTCCCGTCCTCCAAGGCTCCAAGTACTTGGTCCCTGCCATCACCCAAGACCACCACGAACCCACGACTATTATCATTCGTACTGCCACTGCCACCTCCTTCTCAACCAACATCCCGCGTTCGCCCTACCACACCCTTCACACGCCAGACAACCCGGATTTTCCTGAGTTGGACTGTCGACGGATTGGAAAGCGAGCCAGCTGTCCGCTCTTGCTCCGTATCGACTTACCGGAAGGATCCAAGGTGGTGTCCAAGGGACCGGGGCTAATAAGCAACGAACCTCCGAGTACACTACGAAGTACCCTCCACCTCCCGCTTCCGCCTCCTCTTAGAAATCAACCAAAAACTCACCCTCTGCCCGGCCTGGGCGCGCGATAATTCCATTCCTTTCTGTTGCGCCAAAAAAAAAAAAGAAGAAGTGACAACCATCACTGTCTTCTTCTTCTCCTCCTCCTCCTCCGCCAAGCATTCCCCTCGTCGTCGTCGTCGTCGCCTACTCCTCACCTGCCCGGACGACGTCGTGCCTCTTTTTTTTTCTTTTTTCTTTTCTTAGGCCCGTTTGCGGTGCCTTTGGTCTTTGACCTGTGTTCTACCCTTACACAGCATCTCTGCGACAATCGTTATGGAGCAGGTTCATGGGGTAGATGTTAGCTGGATGACCCACGGCGGCTCTCCGAAAGGTAGGCAAAAACGTCCCATCTGACCTCATTCTCCAGGGCAGCTAGTTGGCTGTTGCGCTGGACCCCCCAGTCCACCCACTCACCACTCACCACTCACCACTCACATCGCCCTCGCCAACGCTGCCCTGCCAAGTCGACCCAGATAAGCAGCTCGGGATCGACCTACGAGCGCTTGCCATTGTTGACCGGATCTCTGGGGCCTCTCGCTCCTGGCCTGTGGATATATCCAAGAGCCCGTCACTTCCCTTCACCTTCTTTCCTGCCTCTGCCTCTCTATTGCGCACTATCTTCACAATCACCCAAGTACCCAAACATTCCCCCTGCTAATCCAAAATGCGCCTCACAGACAGGCCACCGAAATCAATACCCATACGCCGATCTTCGACGACCGCACCCAAAGAGTCATCACCACTCCCCTCTCCGACCACCGGCCAAACCGCCGTCAACGGCAACACCAACGGCGCAACAGACACTTCAAAAGCGACGACAGAAGGCACAAAACCTATCCCAGTCTCGAGACCGCCTTTAGGCAGAAGTCCATCTAACGAAAAATCACCAGGGCCTAACGGCACTCCGCCAGCCCGCCGGAACTCGTGGTTTTCCAACATCTCTTCCAAGTTTTCCTCTTCGCCAGACAGCAAGGCTGCCCAGGCAAACCAGCAAGCACAAAGCACTCCGCCAAAGGACTCCGGCCCAGTGCCCCCGAAAGTAACTCCTGCAAAGAATGCCGTGCTCGCACACGCCGCTAAAAACGATGGCGACCAGCCGTACACCCCGGCACCTCCCGGACGCGGCCAGGCCGGCTTTCTGGGAGTCTTCCGCCGACTGTCTTCATCAGGTGGCGTCTTGGGACAAGGAACGAGAGGAACACACGGCCTGGTGGAGCGAAAGATTCTGAATGTCGACCGCAACCGCGAACGTTGCCAGATTTCGGACTTGCATCAGGCGAAACTCCGGAGGGTCGCATTCAGCGTTGATGTCGAAATTGCTCCAATGCCCAAGTACGTCGATACAGACGTGCCCGGTAAAAAGCCACTGGAAAAGTCAAAAACGAAAAAGATGACGGAGAAGGGAGAGGGCGAGGCACTGAAGAATCCGAAAAGTCTTGCAGAGCAAAAGGAGCGCGATGGCCTCATTCACACAACTGGCGAGACCGTGCCAAAGGAGCCTGAAACGGAGGGAACGGACACAGCCAAGGCCAAGGAGGGTGGCACGAACGGCGTAAGCGCTGCATCCGTGGATAAGGAGAAAGAGACCAAGAAGAAGGACAAGAAGAAGAAGAGCGAGGAAGAGAGGAAAGCTAGGAAGGAGAAGAAGCGGAAACAGGCTGAGGCTAACGGCACGATTCCCATGGAAATCCACGTCGACGACAGCGACTCTTCCAGCGACGGCACACCAGCCGCGACACCCAAGACGACAGCGTCCCCCACAACAAACCCAGTGAGGATATACCGCCGTTGTTGCCAGTTGAGAGAGACACCCATTCTCAAGAAGATCACCGAACAGCTCAACAGCCCTTCAAATTGCTCTGCCGACATAGGAATGATGCAGAAGTTGGATTTGACGGGCTACTGGATGCAGCTTCCTGACTTGATCACTCTGGGCGATTACTTGGCGGTTGTGCCAGTGAAGGAGGTCATCTTGGAGAATTGCGGCCTGACTGACGAAGGCATCAGGGTGATATTGGCAGGTCTCCTAGCTGCAAAGAAGCCTGATTCAAAAAGGCGGAAGCAAACCAAAGCAGACGGTATCACTACGCAGGGCGGCTTCGTCGAACGGCTCGTCCTCAAGAACAACAAGATTGGGCCCGAGGGTTGGAAGCACATGTTCCTCTTCATCTACCTCTGCCGAACGCTCAAATTCCTCGATGTTTCGACGATATCCTTCCCCCGGCCTCCTCAACCTTCACAAAACGGAAACGGGCACGGCCATCACTTGCTCAGAAATAATTCCAATGACGAGCAACCTCAGAACATATGCGCAACCCTATTTGCCAAGGCCATTGGCGAACGACTAGGGGGTTCTACGTTGGAATTACTCAACCTCGGAGAGACTAACCTCAACTCCAACGACCTTGGCGTGGTAATAGACGGTATCATTCAGTGTGGTGTAAAGCGACTTGGTCTTGCTCACAACAACATTGATGAAAAGGGGCTCAGGCATGTTGCCAGATATCTGTCCACAAGCGGGTGCGAAGGCCTTGACTTGGGCGGCAACGATCTTCGAGACCAAACTGACATCATTGCCAATGCGATCTCAGAAAAGGACTCTTTGTGGGCGCTCAGTCTGGCTGAGTGCAACTTGAAGCCTGGCTCGCTGTGCAAAATTTTCCCTGCACTTGCTCATCTCAAAGATTTCCGCTTCATCGACCTTTCTCACAACCGGGATCTGTGCAAATCGGATCCCAGCGCCATTGGTCTCTTGCGCAAGTAAGTCACACCAAGTCACCCCCTACGACTAAGAAGCTGACAACATCTAGGTATCTTCCAAAGCTACAAGGGCTGCGACGTGTTCACCTTGCCGATGTCGCTATGACCTCTGAGCAAGCCATTGCGCTCGCCGAAATTCTCCCCGAGGCTAAAATGCTTGCGCATATCAGTTTCCTAGAGAACCCAGAACTGGTCAAACTTGCAGATGCTAAAACTGAGGATGCTCAGGAGGAAGCTTGTGCACTCTATGCATCCTTCCTGGCTGCCACCCGTGTCTCCAAGACTATCGTGTGTGTCGACATCGATGTACCGAGCGACAAGTCCGGCGAGGTCGTCAAGGCCTTGGCCAAGCAAGTCGTCGCCTATTGCTTGCGGAACATGGAGCGCTTCCCCATTGGCGACATAGGCGCGGTCATCTCAACAGTCCTAGCCGAGTCCGGGGATTCGTTGCCAGGCGGCCCAATCCCACCTTACCCCGATGTGCTCGCACATCTCGTCGGTCACGACGTTCTCAGAGAAGACTCGGACAACGAGTCTGCGCCGGACGACGACTATGTCATTGGAGGCACTGGTGTTGTCAAGGCTCTCACTTGCTGTCTCAAGAACAGGGGAGATGAATCGAGAAGGCAATCTGGCGAGTTCATCCGGGACTTTGAAGATGGTGTCCCAGTACCTGCTAGCCCGCGACCGAAGTTGCCTCCTGGAAAGGCAAAGGATATGTCGAAGCATCTACTGGCCAGCGCCCGCAAGATTCGCCAGCGGCTGCAGCCTGCACTGTCCAAGGCTAGAGTCAACCCGCAGGAAGATGAGCACAACTTGCGCAAGCTGATGTTCCTCGACGTCACCCTCGCCAACATCATCAAACGGTTCGAAGATGAGTTTCCTGAAACCCGTGTGTCCACGGATGAGGCATCGGAGACCACCCTGCCCAGTCAGAGTGATCAACTCGGTACATCACTCTCCTCGACGGAGGATCCTGATCAGCACAGCATTCCATCCGATGTCGAGGACGAGACCGGCTTGTCGGTTCGGCCTGGTCTGCCGCGCACGAATTCGACGCTGTCGCACACCTCGAAAGCACTCGCCGAAGAGGAGGGTAGAATGCACAGGGCCGGTCACAAGATTCGTTCTGGAATCATCAAGCCCGAGTACTATGGCCTGCTTAGCGGGGTACTCGAAGTCGGCCTCGACCCCAAGCACACTGCTATGCTTCACCAGATGATTGAAGAGATCGACGACCCTGATTTGACTCAAAAGGTTGAAGAAAAGGGCATCATGCGCGTCTTCAACGAGGATCGCGATCAAGTCCGAGAGGGACTTCGGGCACTTGATCCCATGCACTGGGATCGGTTCGTTGAGAGTCAGGAGAAGGCCCGTGGCAATGTCAAGGCAGGCATGACCAGCCCAGCAAAGCCAGCCGATGAGAACGCCATTGAGGACTGAGCTTCTGTCTCCTACGCCTTGTCATCTTGGCATAATACGGCGGCATATTCGCCGCCTTTTGTACTCGTAATTTGCTCGACTTGAAATGTTGGGATTGGGGACTTTTTGAGACGATGAGAAGCAAGCAAAGGCGTAACGCGAGGAGGGAGTCCGGCATTCACAAAAAAAAAACAAGTTTTGCTCTGCGTCTTCAAACAACCCCAGGGAATCAAGTTCACTTTCTACGGTCAGATATTTGGGGATGTGGATGGATTCATCTTCAGCGACCGGAACAGAGGAGTTCATCGGAGTCGAGAAGGAGAGCAGCCAAAATGGACAGTCGCTACTGAAACATGTACTAGTGTACAACAGCATTCTAAAGAAATGACCCCTTTTCCTCGCCCTCCTTGGGGCGAGAAGGCCGCCGGGTCTGACGTGCCAAAATGTCTATTTTGAAGTCACACTTAGTATGAAATGTGTTGAAATGAAGCTTCAGGGCCACCCAGTACACAAGTAAAACTTCAAGTGGCGTTTGCGCTTGTCGAAAAGCAGGCTGATTATCGCCAGAGCCAGACAGCGTTGACTTGTCTGAAGAGCAGGAAGGTAAAGGCCGCAACGCAAGTATTAGGTTATCATCGATGTGCTCATGAGTCTTGAACGCCACTCGGGTCCTTATACACGGGCTTGGGTCGAATTTAACGTCGGTGATCTACCGTTCACAACTGGAACGAACCACTACTCAAGTCGAGTGACTTGTTCAAACCGAATCCGACGCGTCTCTAGTCATTCTACTCAGATTGAAGATGCCACAATTTCTCCGCTCCATGTGGTGGATTCCTAGACTTTGGTCTGATCTATGCGCCAAGTGAAAGATCAGTAGAGTCCAGGGGGGGTGTGATGGTACTGGAAATCGAATCGGACACTCGCCTACTTGGAGTGTCCGTCAGACTGTCCAGTCACTCTGACGGATTTCCACAGAATAAAGGCCAAGAAATGTTTAAATCTAACAGCGACGGGAGCGAATCTGATGTACATTAAACTTAACTTTCGTGGGGGGGGGGGCCGGGGATATGGTTCAAACAATGCCAAGGCCGCCGGTAACATACACCCATCCACCCATCCATCCATTCTCAAGCTGTGTTTTCCTGTCAGGACTGGGATGTCTGTCGTAATACGTAGAGTTTGGAGAGCCTTTTCTTGTCAAAGTCTTACATGATCATCCAAAGGTAAACGGGTAGAGAAAGGTGATTAGACTTGGGGTTTAAAGGAGGATGTAGCCGCACTGCCATTTTGCAGTTCGTCTGATCTGCTTCTGTTAGTCGTTCCCGCCCGTTGTTATACGCACAGCGGCAGGTCTGTTCATTTCCCAGCAGAAGAAGAAGAAGAAGTGAAAGGTGGACAACTGTTATTCATTTCTAACCTCTTTATTCCCTCATCTTCTCTCTTTCTTTAAAGTCCACGCTCGCTTGAACACAGATCACAAAACATGAAGCCATCAGACAGAATCGCCCTGCTCCTAGCAGTAGCAGCAGCGGCGGCAGCAGGCCCGGCAGCAGCCTTTACAAACACCAAAGTCGACTTTTTCATGCGCAAGAATATCGACCCCATTGTCATCCCGGGCTAGTACAAGAGCCACATGCACAGCTTCTTTGGCAGCGACACGGTCAAGGTGAATATGAGCTCGACGGCCGAGTTGCAAAAGGGGTGTTCTACGGCGCAGAATCCGAATGATTTTTCTGTTTATTGTTAGTAATTTTCCCCTCTTTTCCCCGTGTCTATATGGAACCCAGTAGCAGAAAACATATAGATTGGGAAATTTCCTCTCTTCTGGTCCTGTAGCAAGAAGCAACGTCAGACTTACACACACCGTCCGTCCGTCACAGGGATCCCAACCCTCTACCACGTCCAAGGCGAAACCCGAACGCCCATCGAACCAGTCTCCTTTGTAGCCTACTACAACTTTGACAAAGACCCGGCCAGGTGCCCATCCCGCCCGACTTCTCCGTCGTAGCGGGCAACTCCAAGGCCGCCACCGAAGCGGACCTGATTGCGGGGTCCGACATGACCTGGCTCTGCCAGAACCAGGCGTTCGACGCGGGCGGGAAAGACCACGCGCAGTTCCCGCAGGACACGTGCTCGACCTCGTTGCAGGCTGTCTTGTGGTTCCCGGACTGCGTCGACGAGACGACGCTCAAATCTGCATATTCTGATAAGAAGAGCGGGACGTGTGCGGCGGGGATGAAGAGGATGCCGCAGTTACGGTTTAGTATTCGGTATGATACGAAAAGTGCGGTGTCGGAGGGGTGGAAGGGTGGGGATCCGCCTATTGAGCTTGCGTGTGGCGGGAGTCGGTGTTTTCACGGGGATTTTGTGAATGGGTGGCTGGAGGAGGCGGCGAGGACTATGGTTACGGGGTTGAAGAGTAAGAGGGAGTTTGAGGCTGTTGATGGGCCGAATGGGAAGGCTAGGGCGGGGAGTGTTTGTGAGAGGGAGGCGAGGGATGCGGATCCGGGGAATGGGCGGAGAGTGTGAAGTTGATGGGGGGCGGGAAGAGGAGGAGGAGGGGGCCGGTAAGGAGGATGGGGTTGTGAGGTTATTCGGGTTGGGCTGCTTGTTTCCACCCATTCTGCGGGAGGGGGGGGGGGGGGGGGGAGAAGGGGATATCGGGATATGGCCTGGCGTGAGGGCCAGGGCTTGAATTAGTCGGTCTTGGCTGAGTGAATGGCCGAAATCCTAGAGCTGTAGAGTTTGATACCCAGGTGATGGATACATTGCAACTCTGGAATGGGCTGCGATGCTTTCCGATCAAATACTGAGATACTCTATATGGGGTTATCATTGGCTTGAATAATGAGATGCGAACAAAAGAGTCTTCAGTATAGTAAATCCGAACAACGTCGCCGTCGAAGCGTCTTTATCGTACGAAGCCCCGTCTTGTCAAAGTTGATGGAGGGACGGACATACAGGGATCAACTCCATTATCGGTCATCATATGTAAACCTCTGTTTCATTGCCATCCCCCTTCTATACCATCCGCTCTTGTCTTCATGAAACCTAGGAGCGGTGAAGAAATCTAGACTCCATGTTCAAAGAAAAACAAAGGCCGTGCGACGGGATGGTGCAAGTATAAGCAATCCTCCGTTTGGCAGTTAACCACGTTGTGTTTGTCTGGTCGAAGCAATGGCTTTACATGTTTTCACTAATCCGGACATGAGCATGACATGTACTTGATAACGAAATCAGGTTATTATCTACTTGACGGAGACATCATCGGTGAGACGAATATGACGAACATGGTGAAGCCCAGGAGCCTCGGACACCACAATGGGCTCAACGGCAAGGATATTCACCGTGATGAAAACATATGAAGAGTGTCATACAGATGAACTTGAACCACGATAATGTAGTCGTTGCGTGTGCCACAATGAGTTACAGCCCGGGGTTAAATAGGCTTGATACCAACGGCGGGACAGCTTCATGCTCCGGACTGAGATGTGCTTCGTCCAGTTATCGACAATCAGCCTCAACTCAAAGCCTATGGCGTCTTCATCACAAGTCACAGCGAACAAACTACAGCAAGCCTGGCCTTATTGACCTACATCTATCCCACAACTCGAGCGCCGAAAGAGGGCGCCACCCTAGAGGCGGCTAGACGGCCATCGATCGGTGATTAGTATCGACCACTGGCCGAGCAGTCAGCACATACATAGTATCCATAGAAAGCGTCAAAACACTTGGGATGAAAAAAAAAGGAGACCAATGTCGTCGGAGTAGGGGTGCCCGTGAGCGCTCAGCTAGCTCCACGCGGACGGGTATCCGGCCGAAAAAAGGCTCGAGGTTTGGCCCTGCCATCGCTGGGGGGGGGGGCGCCTCAATCGAGTAAAAGGCTGTGTTGTGCTCCTGTGCTCCATTCACTGGCGCATTGGTGGTGGTGGTGAGTGAGCCTGCGTCATAACTGGAGCCCCCCACCCAAGGCTAAGCCGGGGGACAGCCACCGAAAGGCCAAGACGGGGTCTTGAGTGAAGGAGGGTTGAAATAGAATGAGGTGGTGGGTGGGTAGTTACGTTTTGCTGGGCATGGCTGAAAAGTCTTGGAGATTCAGGAGGAATGGGGTCATTAATTACCTAGGTGTCCTAGGTTTTTTATCATTTGCTTCTCTTTGCCGGAGGCCTCGAGTACTTTGCTTGGCTTGGCTTGCAGGCTCAGGCCCAGGTCTTGGAACCGATGCTGTGCAGAGTGCAGACGACGGGTCGAAGCGGAAAATGTGAATTGGCTTTTGCTTTTTCTCCTCGTCGCCCTGAACGTCAGCGACCAGCAAGAGGGGGCCGTGGTCAAGAAGCAAATCGAACGGGAAGAGGCTGTGGTTGAGACTCGAGTGTCATTCTGACGATGATGGGCGTGAGTTTGACGAGTGGCATTGCAGAGACCGGCCGATCGTTGGATGTCCTGCTGGCCTCATTCGTCTGCGCACATGTTCCGTCTAGGTGAGCCACTCACCAGTGTCAGCTCGTCTGTCTCGCCCTGGTTTTTTTTTTTTTTTTTTTTTGGCCTTGGTTCGATTCGATTGGGTGATTTCGGCTGAATTGAATTGGACCTAAATTAATCTTGGGCCTGGCGGAAGTGACCTCAGAAAGACAGGTTATCGGCTAGGTAATGGAAGAAACTTGGTCGTGGCCGCCCCGTCTAAGTGTGATTGTTGACGACGGTGGGTGGGCGTAGGAGCTGGCGATGCAAAGCTTGGATCGTTGGGGCGTCAAGACGGCCCGTGCCCCCACCAGGCTTTTGCTAACCAATGTCCTAGCGCCATGCAATGTTAAGGTCACTGTCTGTACTCCGTACTCCGTACCTTGGGAGGTCTTTGCCGTATAGGGCTCAGGACGCAGGAGACTAGGAAATGTCTAGGGAAACTTACCTTCACACTGGAATCAATCTGCTCTTTATTCAGATTGTGCACGTAAAGCAAGTACAACAAGTGGGATAAGTTGTGAAGGCTGAGGAAAGTTCGATTGTAACATGGAGGCGACGGCCAGAACCCCTTTCAGTACTGAGTACTCTCAGGTACTCCGTAGTTCCAGGTTGCCTGAGATACTTGACGTCTGGCTTGATTACCTCAGCATGGAAAGTCCCGCCTACATTGATTAACTGGGCTTGTTCCTGGCAGGCAGACGACTTTTCTCGGGGTTGTTTGGCAGTCTGCTGTTTCAAGACTACCACTCATCTGTCTCTGCTACCTTACTGACGACTCTTGGAAGAAGCTCAACTTCCGTCTAGGAAAAGCTGGAGAGCCTACCACGGATGTGTGTGATTGGGAGTTGAGTAAACAGCAAACCAGAGCCGGGCAAAGATGGAGGGGGTGTTTTGATGACGAGGCTTGCCCGTGCCAAGATGGGAACGGCTGGCAGTTCATCGTTTCTTAGTCCCTCTGCCTACAACCTTGGGCCTAATGTGCATGCAGCACTACTCTGTAAGGTTGAGGTGACGTTCAGATGGCACGAGCCGCTTCTCTTGGCTCGCGCTGGCACTTGAACGGAGAAAGATCGACCAAGACTCTCCAAGACTCTTGGGCGGCACATTTGAAGTCTTTCCCATGCTATACTTACGCAGCATGGGGTCTTGGCGCGGAGAGCCTCCCGATATGTTGCATTTAGAGGGAAGGGAAAAATGGGAGGGGGCCAGCCCTTCATTCATCAATTCTTACTCTCAAATCCGCTGTCCGGCAACCTATGCCCGAGCTGGGTCGTACGGATATGGCAGAAAGGATGGAACGACGGAAGCGCGGCAGAAGAGAAAGATGGAAAACCCGCCTGTAGGGTTGCGGATAGCCATGTTGTACGGTACGGAGTACTACGGACACAGTTGGACGGTGCGGTTGCTGCAGGTGCTGTTGCAGCCGACGAGGGGCACAAGCCGACAGACTGGATTCGTGGAGATGGAGGGGAAGAGGGGGCCACGCCATCGACGAACTACACCACATCGAGAGATCGTATGGGGTTCGTATGAAAGACTGGAGGCGGCGGGACTTTTGAGGAGGGGGGTTTCGGTATAGCGAGAAGGATAAATTGAACGGCCTAAACAGGTCGACGACGAGGCATCCAGACCCGGTCTACGGATAGAGAATAGAGCTTGGAAGGAAAGGTATGGGGAATCTTGTAGCAGTGAAGGTGAGTGATTTAACAGATCTGCACACGCTGTGAAACTTGAAGGTTGGGCTACATTGGCTGGAAGCAAGGGAGAATCGGGTGACAGCCGTTGGGATCGAGCGGCAATTCAGGGGGGCGGCGGGAAAGGTCTTGAGACTTGAGAGTTGAGCCCTCTGCCTGGCTGGGCGAGCTGGAATCCGACTTGGTTGGGAAGACGCGGGTGAAGCGTATGAGCGTGTATCCGTATCCGTAGGTGAGGAGATTCTGGGGAGGGGGAGGGGCATTGTCTGGGGCTTATCGACATGGACCAGGACTTGGGCCTGTCTCAGTCCCGGCTGAAGATTCGTGGCCTGCTGCGTCTGGGTAGAGATTCGGAACGGATTGACGCGGGAAATCGGACATGATGATGAATTGGTTAACATTCAAGAGGGAGGGGGCAATCCAGGCTGCTGGGCAATGCTTGGGGAATTCGTACACCGTATGGAGTAGCGAGGGACCGGCTAACTCGACTTGGGAGGTCTATCGTGATGCGCGATATGTTGACGAGACGCGGGTGTCGCTAATACGGCGACAAGCGACCGACGGGGCGGAAGAGGAGAGCAGGCCATGGCCCAGCAGGGCATGAAATTGACAGGGAAGCGGACGAACATGAGGGAAAAGGACAAGCGACAGACGAGATTCGGGATGGCATAGCGGCCATTGTGGATGGGGCGTTGGGGACAGATGGGGGTAGAGCAGGGAACTGCATCGAATTGAGGAGACAGTCTGATAGGATGGACAAATAAGGTGCGCAGTGATGGTCAGGCACGGGGAATTGTGCGCGTCCGAGATGCTGCGACTGTCTACTGGCTGGTTATGAAGGGGAGACGGTCAGTGATAGGGAGAGGCATTTACTCTCGAGGGTGATGGAGTGATGAGAACACTAAGGTCAGGTCCATGTGGTGAAAGCAAAAGGACGAAGAGGCGGTGGAAAATGCAATGCGACGGAGTTGAGAAACAACAAAAAGACTAAGCACATGATGGAACAAAAGCAAGTGCAGAAAAGCAAGTTGACTTCGCGCTGTTTCTCGCCCTTCATTTTCGTGTCTGTCTTGCTTGCCCACAGCGTGGGGGCCAAGCATTCTGGCGTTCATTCCTGCTGGTCTTACCTTATCTTGCTGTCGGTGACCTTAACTTGCGTGCTTGCCCTATCTCAACCTGGGAGGCTTAATTGCAAGTTGGCTACGTGGTCTTTCCTGATCATATCCTCAGGGAAACAGATGTGGTTGCACTTGCTGTTGGAATTAAGGAGGGAATTCAGGAAGGAGCGTCTAAAAACACACCTTCGTCTTACCTACGGAGTATTAGGGACTTGAGGTACCGTACCTAAGGTACTTCGTAGACGGGAGGATGTCGTTCCTTGGGTGTTTCCATTCCGGTACGGCGGTACCTTGTCTGCCTGCCTTTTGAGGTACTTTCCTGCTTTGCTTGACGGATGATGTACCCCGACGCAAAGTACACATGCTGACACCGATGTAAGACTGGGCAGGTACGTACTGCAGAAATGATATCCACCCTCGAAATGTACAACACTGGCAGCCTGCAGGTCGCAGACTGGGTGGACTGGGAATGAATGCCTCACTCACATGTTCGCTCACGCATCGAATGCGAGTTGCAACTTGAGGTGTGCATGTCTCGCTAGGGTACACCGTAGAGGCAGGACCATAGGTAGAGCTCGCTTTCGCCTATCTTATATACACATCACTTGAAGAGAGACCACCTTCCAGCCAGTGCGGTGTATTTAGATTGTTGAGGGAAATAGTATACCAAAGGTGCCTTACCAACTAACTACCTTTCTTTCCCTTGAGAAGTGGTGAGAGAAAAAAGACGAAAGACAAAAACATGGCCCGGACCTTCCCCCCCTCCCTTTGGTGTCGTCTGGTCTCGTTCCTGAACTCTACTTGGCTTCTTCTGTGATCTATCCTTCTTCCTCACTTTTTAACCTTTGGGCTTCCATGAGCATGCCAGTGCTTAGGTGTACGAAGACAATCTCCATGCCTAGCTGCTAGCGACCAAGGTACCAAGTAATACATACGTACCCAAGTTACTTGCCTACCTACCTATCTCCATTACCTTGTGTGAGGTGCCCAAAAGCGTCTCTCTCCTCTCCCACCTCAGAGTGCCTGTTTCTGGCTGGGCTGTTTTCAACCCGAGTTTCTGCTCAGCTTCAGCTCCAGCTCCAGCTCCGTGCTGTCTCCAGCTCTGTTCCCTGCTCTGGTTCCCGCCTCCCACCCCCAAACCACGCCAAACGCCTCAAGTGAACCCACCGTACCCACCCCAAACAGTGGCCACTTTGCCCGCTAGGGGATTGCACCACGAGCCGAAGCACCCGCGGACCTTTCCAGCCAACGGCCACCTACCGCAAGTTGTCGTATCTGGGACGAAATACGCTGGAACAGAACATACGACGAGACGAGACGGTACTTTGATCCACCACCAAAATCTCACCAATTCTCAAAGTATCCGCCCGGCCTGAATACCCTCGCTATACGTTTTGTCTTGTCTTTTACAAGGCCACATCGGACGTAAAAATAACAAGAAAAAAAGGTACCCCGAACACTGCGTCACTTACAATTCAACCAGAGGTACATGTTCATACCCTTTTCATAGCTAATATAGGTAACCGCTCCTCTCTTCCTCTCTCTCTCCCCTGCTGGGGCAGGCTCCAGAGTGCTCTCGCTCCCTCTCCGACCTCGACCTCCGCTCGCATTAAGCCGTGGAGTTCTGCGACGCCTCTGCTTCTGCTTCTCTCATTCTCCCTCTCTCTCTCTCTCTCTCTCTCTCCGTCTCTCACACTCTCCTCTACCGTTTTCCTGTCTTCCTTCGAGGCTCTACCTACTCTACAGGAAACAAAAAGTAAAAGCGTCTAAATCATCCTAATACCCTATCTTTCCTTCCTGCTTCCTCCTGTCGGGCCCCTTCTCCCTAGCTTGCTCCTTCGTTCCAGTTGCACATGGCGGTGGCGCCAGGTTGGATGTGCATCGAAGCCACATAATTAGATCTGTACATTTGTTCACTCAACTTTCCATTCTCGACCCCGGGCCTCTTATTATTCAGACATCAGCCCTCAAAGGGGGCCCCAAGCTCCTACCTCATCTCTCTTCTCCCTTCTTCTTCTTCTTCTTCTTCTCTTCGTTGCTCTCTGCTTCCAGCTCTTCCCCCTTTTCTCACCTACTAGATATTTCTTCCCTCCGTTAGATCCATCACCGACCAATACTGACATTGTTTTCATCTCAAGCGTCGTTGACGGTTCCAAACCTGCGAGGTTAAAACCTGAACCGGAATTGGTCTTCAGCTCTACGTCGAAGCAACCAAAGGCCCCTGCTCGACACGCTACCAAAAGGCCTCCCCCAACCACATCCGACAGCAAGTGTTACGTGTGGCTCGCCAGTCCTCGCCAAATCGTCCAGAGCTTTCTCGAGTAAACGCCACCTTTCGCTGTTTTGCGTCGTTGAGCAGTCCGACTGGCAGGGAAGCACATATCGTGAAGGACAGAGCGCGCGCCTCTGCCTGCTTGCCGCACGCCACCACCAGTACCATCGCTCCACTCACTACCTACCACCTGGGGGCCTGCCAACAACAATTCGGGCGCGCCAACAAGCAACAGCAACAGCAAGAGCAACAGCAAGCCGAGGTGTGTGAGAGGTTGGAAAAGAAGAGCTGCCTTGCTCTCTACGCCCACCCCAGAAACAAGTCGGACATTTCGCCTGTCGGGTCATGACAATTGGATAGTCGCTGGAGCCAAACACGTAAGGTACCGCAAGTACCTGACGCGACCTAAGGCTTTCCCAGCGCTCCGCATTGCGTCTCCTACGTCACCCCGCCCCCCCAATCTGGCCGGCTCTGCCCGCGAGTGGTGTCTGCTCTTGGCCTGTCGCCCTCCAAACACTCTTCTTGGCTTGCCGCAACTCTTTTTAGGGGCCGCTCCCCGACCCGCCGTCGTCCACCATGGTCCGCATCATCCCTGGACGACTCAAGTCCAGCTCCTCCCTCCGCAACAGCCGCAGCAGCAGTCCTACGAGAAACAACAGCACCGGCAGCACCAACAGCAAGATGGAGCTGAGTCCAAAGGAGAATGGCTTGACCTTGAAGGTCGTCGTTATGAAGGTACTGCATTGTCACTCTGGCGCTAGTGCGCGGATCTAGGTTGGATCAAGATACACGATTGCTGACCTTTGATGCATGTTAGGCTCGAAATCTTGCCGCAAAAGATAGACGCGGCACGTCCGATCCGGTACGAACTCGAATCCAACCCTCGCGCCCCTTCGTTTCCAATTGTCTAACATGAATTCTCCTAGTACCTGGTTTTGACACTCGGCGACGCCAAAGTGACCACCCACGAGGTGCCCAAGACTCTTAACCCAGAGTGGAACGTCATCGAAGAACTTCCAGTCAATTCGACCCATAGCCTCCTTCTCGATGTTATATGCTGGGACAAGGACCGCTTCGGCAAGGACTACCTTGGCGAGTTCGACCTTGCTCTGGAGGAGATCTTCGCCAATGAGCAAACCGAGCGAGCCCCGAAATGGTACCCTCTCAAGAGCAAGAGACCCGGCAAGAAGACCAGCGTGGTCTCTGGCGAGGTTATGCTCCAGTTCACCCTCTTCGACCAGTCAAACACCGCCGCTTCCCACGAACAAATATTCGAGAAGCTCAATGCCTTGCTCAATCAATTGCCTGCGGGCTCCCGACAGATTACACCGACCATGACCCCCCTCATCCAACCGGTCCAGAACATGAGGGTCGGTGGAACAAACCCGTCGCCTCCGCTTTCGCGCAATCAGACCGACGCCTATCAAGAAGATGACGATGACGACGATCTCGACATCGAAGACGACACCCCTGAAGACGAGGATCCCAGCAAACCCGAAGTCGCCGAGAAACGCAAACGACGCCTGAGGATTAAGGGCCTGAAGAAGAAGAGGAGAGACCAAACATACGAATTCAATAATAGTGGAAGCGACGTTGTGGGAGTCATCTATCTCGAAGTCTTGAACATTACGGATCTGCCTCCCGAGCCCAACTCCACCCGGACTACATTTGACATGGATCCTTTCGTCGTTGCGTCACTCGGCAAGAAGACGTACCGGACGAGGCGAGTGCGGCACAACCTTAACCCGGTCTTCAACGAAAAGATGATTTTCCAAGTACAGGGCCACGAGCAAACCTACTCGTTCTCCTTTACCGTGATGGACCACGACAAGTACTCTGGAAACGATTTCATCGCCGACTGCTCATTACCTATTAGGGAGCTCATTGACAGGGCCCCCAAGGCAGACCCCGAAACTGGTCTATACGACGTTCCCGAACCCCATGAGTATGTCGCCCCTCAACAGCGCCGCTTCAAGAAGCTCGGGATGTCCCGTACGTCGTCCTCCCAAAGCTTGAGCAAGGTGCGGCCTGGCTTGTCGAAGAATGCAAGCAGTGCATCCACAACTACCCAGACCGGAACGACAACGCCTACGCCTCCCGCCCAGGCCTCGAGCCTGAACCCAGAGTTTCTCTCTCCTGAGCAAGCCCTAGCAGGAGCCGGTGTGCAGACTGCCGAGTTGGAGGCTGACGACGCGGAATTCCATGACTTCAGTGTCTCTCTGAAGATGAAGGATGCCAAGAAGTGGGAGGCCAAGCACAACCCGGTCCTCTACATCCGCGCGAAATATGTCCCCTACCCGGCCCTGCGACAGCAATTCTGGAGATCGATGCTCAAGCAGTATGACACCGACGA